AAAAACAATACCCGCGCGCGCATGCCATAGTGAGCCCATCTCAGTTCTGTAGATCTCGACATACTAGTCGTTTTTGATGATGTAGACGACGTGACCGAGGTCATCACTGGTCATAAGAAGCGTGGCAATAAGTTAGAGAAGATCACCTTCAGGACGCAGCATGGACATTGGAGCGACCCAAAGAACCTCGGGGGCGAAGCCGACGCTCAAGAGTTGGAGGAGATCCCGGGTGGGGTTGTCTATCCAAAACTATTTTCGGAACGACCCCAAATATTCCTGTTTTTGGCCCCCCCCCCCCCCCCCCCCCCCCCCCGCAAACAGCATCTCGGGCTACCTCACCCTGTTCGGGCTCGTCCTCACGCCGTTCCTCGCCCTGTGGTCCGACTGGCTCGTCAACAACTCGTCGATGGTCGAGCGCGCCCTCATCGGGACCGGGCTCGTCCTCGCCGGCCTCGGAGCGCTCGCGCGCGTGCAGTGCGTCCCTCCCTTTCCTCCCTTTTTCCCTGCAGGCTTGCTGTCGCCGTCGGCAGCGAGTCGCAGGGTGTCTGGATGTTGATGGCGGCTCACTCGTTCTCGGCACCCTCGTCCGCAGGACGAGCAAGCTCGGCCTCAAGCGTTCGTAGGCGCCTCAAGAGGCGCGGCATGTATCGGTGAGAGGCTTGAGTACACGGCCTGGGGCGCGGCGAGGTGCAACGACGACGTGTGAGAGCGCTTTGCGGGCTTCGAGGCTCGAGAGCGGGCCAGGTCGCAGCGAGCTGTTCGGCAACCTCTCTCGCCTCACGAGCGTCGCAACGAGAGCAGTCGTGGCTAGCTGGCCGAGCGAGCACGAGCAAGAGCGCAGCTGTCCGTCGCGAGAGCTAGTCTGAGAAGGCCGTGCGCCGAATCGAGGGCCCGTGCGCGTGGGAAGCGGTCGCTCACTTCTGGCCTCGCCGCTCCGGACGCAAGCTCCCGGCTGCTGTGGGCGGGAGAGCGGGCGAGAAATTGAGCAGCTCGAGGAGGACATAGAGATCCGCTCGAGTGAGGGAGAGGGTCGCGCGAGAAGAGTTCTCTCGAGCACGAACAACGAACACAAGCGCGCACGGTCTGTGCAGCGAGTCCATCTCTCTGTCAACGCCCGCGACGAGACAGGGACAGACCGATGCGGCGATACAAAAGCTCCTCTCGTTTCCTCCGCTCGTGACCCCTCGTACTCTTCTACAGCTTTGCGCCCGCGACGACCGGGCTCGTCAAGTCCATCTCGAGCAGCCTCTCGAGCTCGGCGATGGCCTCGTGCGACTTGCCGTGCTGGACGCCTGCGGGCGAGAGAGAGGGGGCGCGAGCGCCGAGCGGTGAGTGCCTTCCCAAGTCGACGGGCGAGAAGAGGGAGGAGGGACGAGAGAGGGGAGGAAGAGGCGACGCACGGATCGTGTGCATGCCGAGCGCGCGTGCGGCAGCGAGGTTGTGCCCAATGTCGTCGAGGAAGACGGCCTCGCTCGGGGCGACGCCGACGCGGTCGAGCGCGAGGCGGAAAAAGGCCGGGTCGGGTTTCCTGCGCGGCCGAGAGGGAGAGGGGGAGCGAGGGGGAGCGAGGGAAGGGGGCAAGAGAGAAAGAGTCAGGTGGGGGCGAGAGGAGAGAAAGTCGCTCGAGGAGAGGGCTGCAAGGGCGACGAGGAGAAAAAGAAAACGCACCTGAGGCCCTCGACCGCGCTCTCGATGTACTCGTCAAACATGCCCCTCATGGCGTCGTTGCCCGCCCCAGTCGTCTCCTCGCCCTCCTCGGCCGTCTTCTGAAGCGCGGCGCGCAGCTGCGCGGCCGTCGTCGGGCGCGAGTACGGCGGCGAGGCGGGCGCTCGAGACGGGGTGACGCCCAGGGGCGCAAAGTTGTTGGTCAGGGCGGCGACCTTGTACCGTCTGGATGCTGCGTGCGGCTCGGAAGAGGGTCAGAAGGGCGCAGGACGGAAGGAGAGAGAGGAGAAGCCGGCGCACCTCGCAGGCGGTTGATGGCGTTGACGACGAGCTCGTCTGGCTCGAGCGCAGGCGCCATCATCATGCCCCACAGCTACGTGACGAGCAGGTCGTCAATTTGGGCTTTTGTGGCAGCCGCAAGGGAGAGAGAGAGAGAGGGCGCACCTCCTTGCCGTCGATGCGGACCTGGGTCGGGAGCGGTGGGCACTCTGCGGGCGCACGTGAGTCAGCGCTCGCCGGACGCAGACAAGGTGAGGACAAGGAGGGACGGACCAATGCGTGCGCGCTTGCAGTAGACACGGTAGGCCTTGTTGCCGCCGTCGACGTCGCTGAGGCGAGCGCCAAAGTCGCGGTAGAAGTCGTCCTGCGAGATTTCGCTGCGCTCAAAGCGCTGGAACGGGCCGTCGTCGCCCATGGCCTGCGGTGGCGGTGTGTTGTGAGGTCAGCTTTGGTTGGGCGGCGGGCGGTTGCCGGTGCCCGGCAGGGAGGGAAGTGGGGGAGGAGGGAGGAGGAGGGGACGGACCGTGATGGCGGCGTTGATCCAGTGCGAGGGGAGGCCCCAGCGCTTCTCTGCGTCGGTGATGGCAGCGACTGGCGACCCGACGACGACCCCGCCGCTGTTGTGTGAGAGAGGTGAGCTCCTCCCCCGGTCGAGAGAACCGATGAGCCGGGTCGCGACGAGGCGAGGGCGCAGGACGCGCAGGATGGGAGGGGCTGGGCTCACATGTCAAAGATGACTGCGCGGATGACCATGGTGCAACTGGCGGAGCTCAGCGGGGAGCGGGAGGGCGAGAGAAGAGACGAGCCGAAAGCCGGACGACGCACTCGAGTCCAGCTGCGCAGGCCACTCGCTCAAGCCGTGCAGCTCTCTCTCTCTTTCTCGGGCATTCACACTCTAGCTAACGCATCCTGCTCTGCATTGCGCCCCCGCTTGGCCTCAGCCCCTCCTCCCCTGCCCGGCCCCGCTCCCTCCCCTCCTCATTCCCATCCCCACCTGCCCCGCCGCCGCACCAGCCGGCTTGTTCGGATCAAACAGCTGCGTGTTGCGCGGCGGCGGACGCCGCATCTCTGGCAACCCGAGCAGGCCCTCGCCCGTCGAGCCCGCTGCCGCCGCCGCCGACGACGACGGCGCGAGCTGCTGCCCGCCGGGCCCTCCTCCTGGACCGCCGCCGACCGCCGCAGGGTACGCGCCGTGCCCATGCGGGTGCATCATCGGCGGCGGGGCGTGCCAGCCCGGGTGCGCCGGCGGCGGGTAGTGCTGCTGCTGCTGCTGCTGCTGCTGCTGGTGCGCGAGCGCCGCCGGGTAGAAGCCGTGCGCCGCGCCTGCGCCGCCGCCCTGCAGAGCCGGGTACTCGGCCGCGCTCGCGCCGTACGCCGACGGGTGCTGCTGCGGCGCGCCGGGCACGCCCGCTCCTCCTGGGCGGGTCCACGGCGCTGCGCCGCCGAGCGACGGCGGCGGCGGGTGGTGGTGGTAGCCGGCGGCGAGGCCGTTCGGGGCGTGGGTCGGAGGGCCGGGATAGAAGGCCGAAGCGGCGGGAGGAGCGGCGGCCGCAGCAGGAGGAGGAGGTGGCGAGGCGAGAGAGGGAGGAAGGGCTTGCACGTTCTTGAGCTGCGGCGTCGTCGCCGACGATGGCGGCGCAGCCGACGCAGGCGTCGCAGGCGCAGGGCGCTCAGGCGGTGGCTGGCTCGCGACCCACGCCGGCTTGGCGGGCAAGCTCGGGTGCCGAGCCTGCCCGGCGACCGCCGCCGCTGGCGACTCGTCTCGCGGCGCCGGCTGCCCGACGACGGTCGACTGCCGCGCCCGACGCCGCCCGTCGCTGCTTCCACCGCCACCGCTCGCCGCATCGCTCCGCCCCGCACTGCTGCTGCTCCCGGCGTCGCTCCTCGCGACGAGGCTCGCCGCCCGACTCGCCTCGGGGCTGCTCCTGCGCGCGCTCGCGAGCCGCTGCTCGTGCGTGGCGCTCGCGCTCGAGCCCGACACCGAGCGCAAGGACGACGAGCCGCCTGCGCTGCTCCCGCTCGCGGCGATGGTCGCGTACGGCGCCGGCGGGCCGACGATGCCGCCGCCGGGCGTGACGACGCCGCCCTCGGCAAAGCGCATGAGGTACCCGGCGCCCGCGCTCGCGTCGCTGCCGGCTGCGCTCGATGAGGAGGCTGCGCGGTGCTGCGGCTGCTGAGGAGGAGCGGGTGCCGAGGAGGAGGATGGCGCCGACGGGGGAGGGAACGGCGGGAAGGACGAGCCGCCCGACGAGCTCGACAGCGCGGGCGAGGGCAGGCCGCGCCCCGAGGCTGACGACGTCGACCATGCGGCGCCCGGCGGCGGCGGCAGCTGCGGGTCGTACGGCGACGAGCCCGGAGCACCGGGCGGCGGTGGGGCGAACGCGGCGTACGCGCCGTTGGCCGGGTGCGGGTAGCCGCCGCCGTACGGGTACGACGCATAGTCGTGCGCGAGGGCGGTCGCGCTCGGCTGGCCATAGGTCCAGCTGCCCGTCGCCGGGTCGAACGTCGGCGCCGCCGGGCGCATCATGCCGTACGGCGCGAGCTGCTGAGGCGGCGGCGCGTGCTGGTAGTAGGCGTACCCGGCGCGCAAGCCCGACGAGCTCGACTCGCTCGCGAGCGACGGCGGCGGGCGCTGTCCCGAGACGGACAGGGCGGCGCTCGAGCGCGACAGGGTCGAGCCCGCCGACGACGGGCGCGTGATGCCGTACCCGGCCGACTGGACCGACTGCGCGTCGTCGTTGGTGCCGCCGGCGACCGAGCTCGCGACCGAGGCAGGCGCCGGCGGAGGAGGCGCCGGGACCGCAGACGATGACGGCGGCGGCGGAGGAGGCGTGACGGGGTCGGGCCGGGAGAAGATGCGCTCGCGCGCCTCCTTGTAGGCCGCCTCGCGCTCGACGAGCGTGAGCTCTCGCCGCCCTTTGCTCCCTCGCGCGCTCGTGCCCGTGCTCGCCGACGAGACGCCGTCGTCCTCGCCGACGACCGACGATGCGGCCGACGACGCGCCGCGCGACGCGGCCGAGCGCGGCAGGATCTTGAACACGGGAGGGGGCGCAGCTGGCGCCGGCGTGCTCGACGCGATCGACGGGACGGGCGAGTCGAGGGCAGAAGGCGTGGACGGGCGAGAGGGCAAAGCCGGCGGCGTGCTCGACGAGGCGGCGACTGGTGCGGGTACTTCGGGAGCGGGCACGTGCGTGGCGAGCTTGACGGCGGGACTGTGGGCGTCTCTGAGTCAGTCACGGTTGGCTGTGAGGAAAGGGAGGAAGTGGGACGCACGCTCTCGAGTTCTCGCTCTTGACGAGGACGACGACGCCTTGCGGCTGGCCCGTCGCCGGGTTGATCATGCCCGCGTTCCACAGCGCCGGGGGGGCCGCTTCGACCTCGCGGACGATGCCGAACGTGTCGGCGAGCCGGTGGATGAGCAGGCGCTGGTACGAGTTGAGGCCCGGCTGGAAGTGAGGTGGAGCGAGAGGAAGGCGAGTGAGACTGCGGACGGCGCTCTGAGTGAGCGACTTGTCCGCCACAGAAAGAGAACGAGAGGGAGAGATGCAGGACGCACGATGGACTCGACACGAAGCGCTCCATCTCGACCTCGGCTCGCAGGAGCAACAGGCGGTCGCGCGGGTGGTTGAGCGCGGCGTGCAGGACCGGGTCGAGCCCGTGCGCGTCGCCGGCTCCCGGCGCATCATCGCACGCTGGCTGCTCGTCCTCGGGCGGGTCGCTGAGCGCCAGCTCGCCCGTGCGACGCGCGACGTCGCCGAGGCTGCCAGTGCGGGGCCGAGGTACGTCGCTCGCGGACGCGGTCGGGCTCGACGACCCGGCAGGCGGTGGTGGCGAGGACGGTCGACGAAGAAGGACGCGCTTCGGGGCCGTTGCTGAAGCTGGTGCGGCGGGAGCTGGCGTGGGCGAGGGCGACGAGGGGGAGTTGACGGGTGACGAAGAGGTCGAGGCGATGGGGGCAGGGTTCGGCGTGGTGGTCGGGCTCAGAGGAGGTGCGCTCGAGCTCTTGACCTTGCTCTGAGGGATCGTCGGCGGTGCTCGCGGGGCGTGAGGCGGTGCTGATGGCGGAGGAGCGCTCGACCGGGCGAGCCCGAGGGCAAGCGGAGCCTGCGACGACGGGGTGGGCGTGCTGCCGGGCACAGAGCTGCTCGATAGAGCTCCTCGTGTGCCCACAGGCGCGTCGACCGCCTGCATGGCGCGTACTTGAGGCGGGACCTCGCTCGACTCGTCGACCTGTGGGTGATGAGCCGTCGAGAGCTCGCACTCGTGCGGGATCGGGTGGCGCTGGCGCGAGGTCGGCGACGAGGCTTGCAGTCGTGCTTCAAGCTCGCCTCGACAGTGCACGAGCGAGGCGAGAGCTGATGGAGGAGCCGACCCGGGAGGACCTCCTCCTCCAAGTCGCACCTCTCGCTCTGTCACCGCTCTCCTCGATGAGCCACAGCTGGCCGAGTTTTTTTAGCTGCTCGAGACTCTCACGCGACCTTGCGCTGTGCGGCCTCCTGCTCGAGCGCTTCGAGCGCCTCTCTCCTCTCCTCCTCCTCGCTCCTCTCGCCGAGGACCGCCGCACGCTCTCCCGCGGGCGGGGCTCGAGCTTGCCTCGCGTGATCCTTGAGGGCGCTCCCCGGCAGCCGGAGCTCGGTCGCCTCGTCGAGCCCCTGTCCGGACGCTCCGCGGACCCCTCGACCGAGCCGCTTTTGAGCTCTCTGCAGCTCAGCTCGTCGGGAGCTTGCAGTCGCTATCCACATGGATCCTCGCAAGCAAGCGCACGAACGGGCGCCACCGCCAGAGCGCGCCGAGCTGGTCGAGCTTGCCGCTGCCCTCGTCAAGCACCTCGACGGCGACCAGGAGCGCGAGTGGCTCAACCTCGTCCCAGGGGCAAGCACGCGGTGGACTACAGCAGTCGACGTGCACATCCAATCTCGTGCGCCCTCATTCTCTCACCTCGTCGAGCCTGCTGGGGCAAGGAGCGGAACTGAAGGCCCGAGCGCTTGCAGACCACGGCGGTTTGGACTCGACGAGCCCGCCCGTCGCCATCTACGACGCCGGCTTCCTCCAAACGGGCAAGCTCTTCAAGGCCAGCCTGCCCATCCTTGTCCTCCCCGAGCCCGCACACCACACGAGGCTGTGGGCCGGGCCAGAGGGTCCGTCCTTCTCCTCTTCTCCCAACTCGGCGGTCCTTTCCCTTACCTCTCCGTCATGCAGAACACGAAAAGCGTTGGTCGTATCACGGGCACTCGAACGACTCGAGCGCGTCGCAGTGGGTCATCGAGGACTATCGCGACAAGATGGACCTGCGGGTCGTCTTCCACCTTCGCAGCCAGCAAGGTGCGCTTTCTTCGCCTCTTCCCGTCCCGCAGCGCCTGACTCGCTCTCTACTACTTCCTCAGCTGAACACGAGCACATCAACGGCGTCGAGGACTCGCTCCCGATCTACGCCCCGCCGACGCCGCCGGCGTACCACCCTCCTCGCCTTCCTTCTCGCTCGCCATCGCCTGCGCCCGGCCAGTCGCCTTCCTCGTCCAGCAACATGGTGTCGGATGCCGACCGACGTGTCCACATGCAGCAGATCCGCGCTTTCCTCGACTGGATGGACGTCGGGTGCAAGTTTCGAGGTCAAGGTTGGGCCGATCAGCGCGTCCACATCGAGTGTGCGCCGCCGTTACCTCCTCTACCTCTCTCAGCGGGTAGAACCTGACCTCCTCTGTCTGCAGACCGCCGCCAAGGCGAGGGCCGCAGCAGCACGAGCTCGCCCAAGCGCGACATCCTCGAGCTCGTCGTCCGGCTCAAGGGCATCTGGCGCCACGTCGAGCTCGACAACCCGCCTCTCTCCTTAGAGTCTCGAAAGTTCTACGTCTTTGCGCTGCCGGGCGCCGACTTTCCCGAGGGCGACGGCGACAAGGCGGCGAGCGTGTTGAGCTGCCCGCTCCACGAGTACGAGGACGCGTCGGGTCGTGCGTCCACGCTCTCTCCTCATCTCGCGTTCGCCTTTGTCAGAGCCTCACTAACTCGACCTTTTCCTCCCTCCCTCCCCTCACCGCCCCCGCCTCGTCGCAGACTACCCCTTTGCGTCGCCCGACGGTTCGCGCTTGCACGACGAGTGGACCTTCGCGCCGTCAACGGGCCGCAAGCTCGACAGCAAGCGGCGCCTCGTCGCGACGACGTGGTCGGTCAAGTCGACGTGCGCGCACGGGACGCCCCTCCGCGTCGTGTTCGAGCTGGACGAGCCGCACGAGCCCCGAGCGCGGTCGACGGGCGTGCAGGGCGTCTTTAAGAGGCTGCTTCGGAGCTAGAGGGAGCAGCGAGGCACACGTAGAAGAGCGATAGAGCGTCGAGCGTGCATTGCAGTATCGGACAAACTGCGCAGAGATGCGAGAGAGCCTCGACCTCGACTTGAGAAGGTCGCGCTGTTGCTCTCGAGGGCCGCTCTCTCGCTCTCGTTCGTTCGCAGCTCGTCGCTCTCACGCGCTCGAGGCTCTCTCGCGGCACCGCCTGAACGCAGAGCTCGAAGATTTTGTTACAGCTTCGCCTTTTCGTCGAACCTCCTCGGCGACAGGCCCGCAAGGTCGGCGCCCGGCTCGAGCCCGAGCATGACCTGCGCGAGGGCCTTGCCCGCCCCAGGTGCGAGCGTGATGCCCCAGGGCCCTTTGGCCGTCGAGACGTAGACGGTCGGGTCCGAGGGCGACAGCTGGCCGATCATGGGCTCGCGGTCGGGCGAGATGGGCCGGTAGCAGAACTTTGGGCGCACGAGGAGTTAGTCGGCGAGCTCGTCTCGGTCGCAAGAGGTGCGAGAGAGAGAGAAAGAGAGAGAGAAAGTGGGCGCACCTGCTCCTTCTCGACGACGGCGCCGTTCTCCTCCTTGAGAAGCGCGCTCACCGCGCCCGCCGCCCTCTTCAACCGGCCGACGAGCCGGCCGTCAATCATGCCCCTCACCTCGTCCACCGTCTCGGGCAGCTTGTTGGGCAGCCCTCGGGCGCTCTGCGCCCTCGTCTCGGGGATCGAGTTCTCGCCGGCGACGTACACGAGCCCGTTGGTGCGCACGAAGAACTCGGGGCTGCGCGTAAAGCCCTCGCGCTTCTCGTCGGGCGTGAGGCCCCTCGCGAGGCCCGACGTTGAGGCGTGCACGCCGCCGACGGCGCCCGAGATGCCGGCAAAGACGGCCTCGGGCGGGAGGGCGGTCGACGAGGAGCCGGGGCGAGGGGTGAAGCCGGCGAGGGAGGGGCGGATGAGGAGCGAGTGGCCGGGAAGGTTCGTGAGAGGTACGGGCGGGAGGTTGAGCGTCGAGAGGACGGCTGCCGACCAAGGACCGGCAGCCACGACGAGGCGGTCGACCGACAGGGAGAGGATCGAGGTCGACGGGCGAGAGGATGAGGGCGAGGGACGGTCGGCTCGTGGAAGGATAGTGATCGTGCGCCTGTTTGACGGGTCGAGGGGCGAGAGGGACGTGGCGCGGCCGAAAATCGTCTTTAACCGGCCGGGAAAAGCGGTCGAGAGGTGGTCGTGGAGGGTCGCGCAGAACTCGGCGGGATCCCTGCAGGCTCGAGTGCATCAGTACGGCGCACACAGAGGTTTAGATGGCGTCGAAGCACAGCTGAGCGACGCCGCCGTCGGTGCTGAGCACCTCCAGGTCGCCCTCGACCCACTCTCCCCTCGGCAGCCTGCCCGCCTCGCCCTCCTGACGCCCCTCCTTGCGCCCACCGGGCAGCGTCCGGTACTTGCTCCGGTCCTCGTCGACGCCGCCGACGTTGAGCCCAATCGCCGAGCACTCGCGGTACCCGAACCTCGCCGCTCCGTCAAGCCGCGCCGCGAGCTCGCCGTGGCACTCGCCCGACAGGCGCGCGAGCGACTGCGACGGAGGCTCGTGCCACGCTGGGCCGAACGCGAGGAAGCCGCCGGCCTGGCTGCTCGCGCCCGAGGCGATGGCGGCGCCGGCCTCGACGAGCGTGACCCGGGTCGAACGAGGCGAGAGGTCGAGCGTGTAGAAGGCGGTGCACAGGCCGACGATGCCTGCGCCGAGGATGACGACTTCGCGCGGTGGTGCTCCAGCCATCGAGAGGCGAGCGTGTGTGCAGCGAGAGCGAGAAGAGCGAGAGAGCGGCTCGCCGCGGCTCCTTCTCTCTCGCACGTGCGGTCAAAAGGAGCCTCTCTCGCGAGCCGAGTGAGAGAACAGAGAGTACAACACGCCAACGCGAAGGTCTCCTCTAGCTACAGGTCCCTCGCTCAGTCCATGCTCATGCGGAACCGGTTCCGCCCAGCGTACGGCATTGCGCTCGCCGTCGCCGCCAGCTGCGGGTCGTCGTCGTACCGCTGTGCTCCCGGCGTCGCAGGACCGGCCTCGAGCTCGGCTTTGCTCGCCGGGTCGTCGGCGGTGGTAGGCTTGAGCTCGAGGACCGACTCGGAGCGCAGGAGGTCGCCTCGAGACACTGTGGGCGCGCGACGAGAGGGGTGTGAGCGCGCTCGGTACGAGAGACGGAACAGGACGACGCGACGCACTGTGGTACTTGAGCCCTCGGCCAAAGTGCCTGTAGCACACGGTGACGGTGACCGTCGTGAGGATGAGCGCGGCGAGGCACAGGGCGGCTGCGAGCGAGTCGGCTCGATGTCAGTGTCTGCTCGGTCGGCGACGACGAGGGAGAGGGACGGCAGGACGGACCAAAGACGGTGAGCGACTTGAACACGAGGCGGTAGTCGGTCTCGCGGTCGCGGTAGATGATGAACAGCTGCGGCAGCAGGCAAAATGGTCAGTCCGAACTCGACGACGACGGACTCGCCGCGAGCGAGCGCGGGAGAGAGAGAGAGAGGGGACGACGGACCTTGTAGATAAAGTAGGCCGACCCGAGGGCGCAGCTCGCGAGGAAGCACCAGTACCCGGTGCGGTTCTCGTGCTTGACGGCGAGGAAGCCGAGGAGGAGCATGCCGGACGTGACGGGGAGGGCGGCGACTGTGATCCAGCGCTGTCGACGGACGAAAGTCAGTGCCACGGCTCTGCAGGGCGTCGCCTGAAGAGCCAGTGAAAGGCGGGCGCACCTCGGCGTCCGTCTGGGTCGGGACGAGGAAGACGAGCTGGAGCGAGAAGGCGATGAAGAAGAAGAGGTCTGAGGGCCGTGAGCGGCTGTCAGTCTCGGCTCGATGCCTCGTCGCCGTCATCGAGAGCTGGGCGCACTAGGCGACTCACCAAACTTGAGGACGCAGATGAAGACCTGGTACCAGGCGTAGCTCTTCTTGACGCGGCGGTCGGCGCCGATGGCCTTGAACACGGACCAGCCGAACTCGCGCCAGATAGGCCACAGGCAGGCGAGGTACACGAGCTGCGTGAGCGTGATCATTCTGCGCGCAATGCGTCCACGCGTAATCAGGACTCGTCGTCGAGACGCCGACGGACCGAGAGGAAGAACAGGAGACGCACGCCGGGATGCACCAGATCAAGATGGCGAGGTAGCCCGACACGAGCGAGCGAATGTCGGCGATCTGGATGCCGGCGTAGACGGCGAGGAGGCCGTTGAGGATGGCGAGCGCGACGACCTGGATCGTGTTCTTGGCGACGAGGGCGTCGACAGCGAGGACGAGCTGCGTCAAGTGGGCGAGGACGAACTGCGGGTGCGGCGCGAGAGTCAGTCATTGGACTCGGGGGGGAGGGAAAGGGCGAGGGAGAGGGACGCACCAGGCCCAAGTAGACTGGGAGCACTGAGCGTTCATCTCGCTCGAGGACGGTGCGCCACAGCTTCTCGGCGTACGTGTTGAGGGTGAGGGCGACGATGACCGTGTCGACGGCCGTCTCGACGAGCGTCATGGCGAGCCAGGCGATGGTGGCCGGGGTGCGAGGGACGACGGGCGCGAGGCGGGTGCGCAGGCGGGCCGACAGGCTGGTCGAGGGCGCCATCGGGTGCGGGCACAGAAAGAGGTACTCGACGGCGGCGAGGCGCTAGGGCGGCGGAGGCGCGTGTCGCGAAGAGGACGAGGCGGAGGCGGAGGCGGCACCTCGCGGGTTGAGCGACGGGAGGCGAACCGGGTCGGGGGCGGCACGATGGAGCGTGGGCGAGGCGAGGCGGCGTGTCGTGACTGGTTGCGAGGTGCGGTGGCCCTCCAGGGGTCGGCCCGAGGGCGTGGCCGGGGCGACAAGGCCGGGCGAGAGATGAGGGCGAAAGGCGCGTGCGGTCGAGCTGGCGAGGGCGCTCGGCGGGCAGGGGGACTCGCAGGGACGGCCGGCGTGTGCGAGTGAGCTGATACGAGGTGCTGGGCGAGGCTGTGCGCGGGGTGCGAGGACGGCAAGGAGGGACCAAGAGGTTCGCGACCGGACGCGCCGGCTCAAGCCAAGGTTCGCAGCTTCGCCTCGCTCGCTCTCTCGCACCAGCCGGCGCACGGATGGACGGAACGGATCTATCGTTATAGTCTAGCCAGAGACGCTGTAGTGTGTAAGGGAGGGGGAAAGATCTAACTGCGAGAGAGAGAGAAAAACAGAGAGAGGGCGAGGAGGAAGCTTCGACGCTGCGAGGCGGCGCGCACGCTCAGTCCCACTTGTCGAGCTTCATCGTGCCGTGCTCCTCAAAGTTGATGTGCATCTTGAAGGCGTTGCGGAGCATGTGCGGCATGTGCGCGCTCCCCTTGGCGAGGCACTCGTGCAGCGCGCGCTCGTAGCTGCGCACGGCAATGAGGTCAGTTCGGCGGATCACCACGGGGTGTACGGGAAGACGACGAGACCGGGGAGGGAAGAGGCGGCGCCGAGGAGAGGCAGGGAGAGGGAGGGAGAGGGAGGGAGAGAGAGAGAGAGAGACGGGGGCGCACTAGTCCATGAGCTGGTCCTTGTAATCCGGGTGCGCGCATTTGGAGATGATGAGCGGCGCACGCTGCCTCGGCGACAGGCCACGCAGGTCGGCGAGGCCCTGCTCGGTCACGATCACGTCGAGGTCGTGCTCGGTCTGGTCGATGTGCGACGCGAACGGGACGATGCACGAGATGCCGGTCGGGTCCGTCTTGGACGGCCGGGCCGAGGGCGTGTGCATGACCGACTGCGGGCGCACGACGAGGACGAGGTCAGTGACTCGCTAGGACAGGAGGAAGAGAAGGAGGAGGAAGAGAAGGAGGAGAGGCGGGACGCACGAGCTTGGCGTTGCGGAGGAAGTCGGCTGACCCGCCGAGGCCGTTCAGCATGCGCGAGCCGAGCGCATTCGTGCTGTTTGCGTGCGAAAAAATATCGATTTCGAGAGGCGTGTTGAGCGCGATGACGCCGAGGCGGCGGATGATCTCGGGGCTGTTGGCCGTCTGCTGCGGCCGCAAGAGGAGCTTGTCGAAGTACCGGTCCCAGTTCTCGTAGAAGGTCTTGAACATCTCGGGCGACAGGCGGATCGAGGTCGCCGTCGCAAAGTCGAGCTTGCCCGTGTCGAGGAGCGGGATGAAGGCGTCCTGGAGGACTTCTGTCCAGACATTCAGGTGCTCGAACTTGCTCTGGGCGAGGCCCGTGATGATGCTGTTGGCGACGTTGCCGATGCCGCTGTAGAGGGAGACGAGGCGTCAGTGATTGTCGAAGGGCGAAGAGAGAGAGAGAGAGAGAGAGGACGCACCTCTGGATCGGGTGCAGGTTCTTGGGCATCCTCCCTGCGGCGACCTCGTCCTCGAGGAACTGGATGAGGTGCCCGGCGAGCTTCTTCGAGTCCTCGGTCTCGGGCGCGTTCTGGCCCGTGTTCTGCGCGCGGCGGGATCCAGGGTCAGTGCGCGAGTCTCGAGAGTGGGAAGGGGGAGGGGACGCACGTCGGGCTTGTTCGACTCGACGATGGCGACGACGCGCTCAGGGTCGATCTGGATGCTCGGCGTGCCGATGCGGTCGGCGCAGTGCGTGATGAGGAACGGAAGGCGGTACGGCGGGGCGGCAATCGGGTTGATGTCGTGCAGGCCTTTGAAGCTCGGCAGCGCCGTGTTGACCTGCGAGCACAGCAGGCGTGAGTAGCTGCTCGTCGATTACTCGAGACAATCGAGCTTAAAGTGCGCGAGAGGACGAGAGGGCGAGAAAGGGACGGACCTCGATGATGATCTTGTCGGCCGACGCGAGAATCTCGGGCGTTGCGCCCACCGAGGCTCCCTGCAGGTCGCACGAGCACGAAAGTCAGTCGCCATTGCTCGACCGCGTCGTCGCCCTGCTCGAGCTCGTCGTGGCCCCGCTCGAGTGAATCGTCTCGCCGCACGAGCTCAGTGGCGCCGAGAGGGGCGGAAGGGCGGACGCACAGGAACGATGGACCCGTCGCTCAGGATCTCGGTCGCTTCGACGATGGCCCAATCGAGCGGCTTGGTCTTGTCGCCGCCCTTCTTGTCCAGGGAGTAAAATCCGTAGGTTAGGTTTTGCGCAAACATGCTCAGGTGCGTGTCGGCAAACTCGATCTCGCCGTGGTTGATGGCCTTGGCGATCTGCGTCGCGAGCTCGCGGTCAAGGTCCACGGTCGAGAGAGGGCGGGTCGAGAGCAAGGTTGGGGACGCACCGACTTGCCGACCTGGTGCGGGAACCGGCGCGAGATCATCTTGTTGCGCGCCCATCGCTCCTCGATCTCGGGGCCGGTAGATGCGCCAACTGTAGGAGGACGGGCAGTCAGTGAGGAACGAGCGGCGCGGGGAGGAGGAGGATCGAGGGACGCACCAAAGAGCGAGAAGCGCAGGTCGCCTTGCAGGTTGTTCTTCTCGACATGTTCAGCCAGAGCGGCAGGCGTCTCCTTCGGGTACCTGTGGCGCGAATAAGAGGTTAGCAACGAGTCGGAGGATCGGGGTCGCAGCGACGAGTCGGAGGATCGAGGTCGAGGAGGAAGTGGGCTCACCCGACGCCGGTGAAGCTGCGCACGCGGGTGCAACACGGTCAGTATCCGTCCCGAGTGCATCTGGCACGCGCTGCGTCTCGCACACATGCCCAGGAGGCAAGGCCGAGCTCCTGCGCCTTGTTGGGGTTCGAGTGGATGAGAGAACTCACCCGCTCCAGCCGATGTAGTCGCCGTTCTTGCTGTAACGGAGCGCGAGCAGGTCAGTGAGTGCTCGGGCGGGTGGACAAGGCCCAAGAGTGGACGCACAAGTGGGAGACGAGGTCTTGTGGCCGAGCGAGCTTGTTGAGGTACGACTGGCGCGCGACGCGCGAGCGCAGCGCGGCTGAAGGCTGGACGGACCGGCAGACGCGTGAAGGGAGCATGGCGCTAGCGCAGCAGGGGCGCGAGGAAGTGCGGTGAGGGAAGAGAGGCGCGAGCAGCACCGCCTCCCCATCTTCGAGGCCGAGGAGAATGCCGACCCTCGCCCTCGCGCTGCGCTCTTTCGGGTGTACACGCTCACGAGACGACGCACTACAGACTTTTCTCCAGACTGATCGCTTCCGAATCAGCAAAAACGAGCGAGCGCCGAGTTTCCCGCGGACCTCGTCCGAGCCGCTCTCGCAAGCCGAACCCTCGCGCTTTTTTGCCCTGCCGACGCTCGCTCAGCGTTGCACTCCACGTCGAACGTCGTCGGCGCTACGCGAACGCCCACACGCCGACCTCGCCCCACGCCCACACGTGCCGCACGTCGAGTCCAGCCTCGCGCGCGAGCGAGAAGAAGGCGTCGTCGCCGTCCGTGCGCCGCTTGTAGGCGATGAGGGCGCGACGATGTCGAGGTGTCGAGGCGTCGTCGCGAGGAGAGGAGGAGGAGGACGGCGGGCGGCGGAGGACGGAGAGGAGGGTCGAGAGGAGGAGGTTGTGCGACGACGGGTTGTACAGGATGTCGGTCCCGACGAGCGTGACGCTCTCGGCGTCGTCGACGACCTCGTCGATCTGCGCCGGCGCAAGCTCGCCCCAGTCGAGCACGCCCGCCCGCACCTCGACCGCGCCCTCGCCCTCTCGCCGCCGCCGCCGCTGCCGCGCGTTGAGCTCGAGGTTCTCGCGCAGCGTCGTGTCGACCGTCGCCTCGATGTCGGTCGCGAGCACCGACGCGTCGACGCCGTCCATCGTGCGCAGGACGCTCGCGGCGGCGAGCGACGCGAGGGCGCACCCGGCGCCGAGCTCGACGACGCGGACCCTGCGACGCTTGGTGCTGCGCTCGACGGGATCGAGGCGCGGCTTTTTCGAGGGTCGCGGCACGTCGTTGTCGGGTCGAGGAAGGTTGGCGAGTGGGGTGGAGGCGTCGAGCGCCGAGGGGTGGAGCGAGAGGAAGGCGGTGAGGCCGAGGGCACAGTCCCACAGGCGCTGGCCAGTCGAGTTGTTGAGCCCAGGCCGCTCGAGGATCGTGAAGGGTGTCGATGTGGGTGAGGGATCCGAGGTCGAGTCGTCGGCCGCAGGCGGTGGGAGGTGGATGAAGCGCAGGGCGGACTGGACTGCGTGCGGCAGAGCGGGTCAGGCTCTTGGATGGGCTCGATGGCGCTGATCAAGCAGCTCGTGCGCACGAGTACGCCCGCAAGTGTGCCGCTAGAGAAGAGATCGAGCCGGCGCACCTTTGTCCTGCGGCCCTTTGCCGCCCTTGCCCAGCTCGACCGCGACTTGACCGCTCGTGACGCCGAGGAAGACGTAGCTCTGGCCGTCCCACGTCTCGTTCGGGATCTGGGTCGGCTCGCCGATGATGCTGCGGATGGCGGCGGTGGCGGCGGACGCGGCGGGCTCGTTCGGGGGCGGCGAGAGGGACGGATCTGGCGAGACCGAGAGGCGGAAGCAGAGGGGACGGACGGGGTGGTTCGAGGAGGAGGGCGCAAAGGTGAGGGCGAGCTTGAGGGTGTGGAAGGGGCCACGGGCGGGCTGAAAGGCGAAGGTTGCCGAGGTCGAGGGCGCGCGAGAGGTGGTCGGGAGCGAGCCGTCGAGCGAGAGGGTGATGCCCGACGGCGGCTCGAGGGTGCCCGCCTCGAGGAGGTCGATCTTGACTGTGTGGAGAGACGTCAGGGCGGTTTGAGAGAGGCTCACGGTGGCGACGCACTGTGCAGCTGGTCAAAGTCGAGGTCGACGCCGTAGTCGTCCGTCACGGCGGCCGCCAACTCGACTGTTGGGTGTACGGGGCGGTCAGCCGTCACTTGGAGGCCCCTCTGTCGACCCTAGTGTGAGAATTGGGCGCACCTGGGACGGTGTGCGGTTTCCTCGAGCCGGCGACGAGGTGCAGACGCGAGGGAGGGAGGCGGACGAGGCGGAGCCTGCCGAGCCTGAAGGCGTCGGGTGGACTCGCTGTAGACATGGCTGAGCGCAGTGCACAGCAGTGCGCAGCTCTGGCGGGCGAAAGCGAGTGAGGAGGAAGGTGCGACCGCTTCATCTCCTCCTCGCTCTCCCCCACCTACTCTCTCCCACAACCACACCATGGTCGTACGTTGAGCCGCCCAATCCTCCCATCAACCCTAGTACACGGCTCACGCCCCCAAACCGACCCGCCCGCAGAAGCTCGCAGTCCAGATCAAGGCCACTCTCGAGAACGTCACCGACCGTCCGTCCCTCTCCCTCTCCCTCTGGCCCTGACGCACGCGCACGCTCACCGACACGACCAAACACACGCCCGCAGTCAAGCCCGTCGGCGACAACTTCAACTGGATGTTCAAGGTCAAGTGCAGCTCGTGCCGAGAGGAACACCCAAACTTTATGGGCATCGACGCGACCGTGCGTCGCCTCTCCCTATGTCTTGTCGAGCTCGAGAGACGCAATCAACTCACCCGCACCCGCCCCGCAGGAGATGCACGACATCAGCGGCTCGCGCGGCGAGGCCAACCTCGTGTGGCGGTGCCAGCTGTGCAAGAAGGAGAACAACATCAGTGCGCCCACCCTTCTCTCTCCTGCGCTCCCCGTACCCTCCCACCTGACCACACCGCACGTGCCCGCAGACTTTGACGACTCGTTCAAGCGCGCCTCGGCGGCCTACACGCTCGACGACGCCGACGAGCAGCGGTGGGCGACGCTCGCCGTCCTCGAGTGCCGCGGGTGCGAGATCATCGAGTTTGACCCGCAAGGGACCTGGGCGTGCAAGGGCGCCGAGAGCAACACGCCGTTCGACGAGGTCGAGCTCAGCAAGGACGAGGCCGACTGGAACGACTACGACGAGAAGGTCCGCTCACCCGCTCTCTTTCTCTCGTGTGCTCTCATGCGGGCCCGACCTGACTCTCTGCATCCACAGGCAGGAGACTCTGTGTCGATCATGGACCTCGAGACTCGGATCCAGCGAGCGTAGAGCTGGAATAAAAGTGCCTCGATCCCTCTTTCTCCGAGAGCAGCAGCGCTTCCTGTCCGACAGAGTGCGCCTGAAAGTGGCTCGAAGATGCACACGCGCAGCCTTCTACTCGGACTCTGCGTCTAGCTCGCCCGTCCTTGCTCGTCAGGGCTGGAACCCGGACGGCATCCTCGGCGTCTCGTCCGCCGCTCCTCCTCCCGCCTCGCCCTCGCTCACTGTCGACGGCGCCTCGAACGAGTCATCGGCGTCGCTCTCGCCGCCATGCCACCGCGCCGCACCGTTCTCGCCATGGTTGACGACCGACGCGCCCGTCTCGAAGCTCGCGTCCGCCGCACGATCCTCTCCCTCCTCCTCCTCCTCCTCCTCCTCGACGCCCGCCGGCCCGCCCCACCACGCCCCCCTCGCGCCGCTCCCGAGCTCCGGCGTCGGCGCGCCCCACCCGGCGCCGCCAGGGCTCGCGCCCGCCGGGTGCGCAGCGAGGAGCGCCGCCGCGCGCGAGGGCTGCGTCGCGAGCCCGGCACCGGCTTTGGCCGCGTCGAGGACGGCGAAAAAGTCGTCGGGGAGGACGGGCGCGAAGGACGAGGGGAGGGAGAGGTGCGGTGGCGGGGGAGGAGGGGTGGGCAGGCCGGGTGAGGGCGATGGGGCGAGCGACGACGCGGTGGACGAGTCGGCGAACGACGACGCCGACACGGTCGTCGAGCTCGAGAAGGTCGGGAGAGCCGGGCGCGAGATGGACGACAGCGAGAGGTGCGACGACGAGCGCGGCGTGCGCGTGCCGTCCGAGCTGGTGGGCCGCGTCGGGGCGCTCGAGTGGGCGAACGGGCCGAACGCTTCGGCCGCGTTGAAGTGCACGAGCATGCTCGGCGACGAGGGGACGGCGAAAGGGAGCTGTCGCGGCGCGAGAGGGCGAGAGTCAGACAGGGGTACACGAGAGGTTCGAGTGAGAGGGGAGCGCACCATGAATCGCGAGTTGAGCAGCTCGCCCGTCGACTCTTCTGTCGGCGGCGGCGCGTACGACGAGTACGCGGTCGGGTCGGCGAACGCCTCGTCGATCGAGCGCACGACGTCGCCGCCGGGCAAAGTCGGCGCCGGCTCGCCGACGCCCTCGGCGCCGCTGCCGCTCGACGCCGCTGCGGCCGCCTCCTTCTGCAGGCGCAGGCGCTCCCACTGCTTCCGGATCTGGACGAGGTACTGGGCGCAGTCCTCGTCCATGCGGTTCTCGTCGACCTCGTACCGATACTCGCGCACGGCTTTGCGCAGCTGGAGCGGGTTGAGCGCGCGCAGGCTCTGCACCGTGCCGATGAGGCCGTCGATCGACGTCTCGCTCGAGAGGCACTGGAGCCACTGCAGGAGCTGGTTGAGCGGCGCAAAGTGGGTCGACGCGAGTTTGGGCGGCAGGCGGTTCGAGCGCGCCCACTCTTCGAGCGTCGACGCGTTGAGGCGGATCTGCATCGCGCGCGTGCGGCACAGGTACTTGCACTGCAGTGAGAGAGAGTCAGGCTTTGGCCGGCTCGGGCGAGAAGGGGTGGGCCGAGGAGAGGGAGAGAACGGACCTGATTCAGGAGCCGGTTGAAGACCTCGCACGAGATCCAGTAGAAGAGCTGCGAGAAGGCCTGGACGATGATGGCTGGCGGGATCTCGTACGCCTGGAGGATGAACAGGGTGCTCGACAGGAGCGCCGTGACGCTCCTCGGGGTCGCCTCGTTGACGGGCACGGTGCTTGCCGACACGAGTCGCGGCGGCGAGGCACCGACGTCGCCGCCGACACCTGGTGCACCAAGCCCGATAGACGACGACGTGCTCGCGCCCGAGTCGGAGAACAGGCTCATGGCGCTCGTCGAGTTGCGCATCGAGCCCTTCTTGGCGCGCCCGGTGAGCTTCTTGACGAACCTCGTCGACGCCCACTCGTCCTCGAATGCGACGTCCTCGAACCCAGCGAGCGCCTCGTGCTCGAGCATGGCCGCCTCGAGGACGCGGTCGATGCGCCGCTCGGCGTCGCGGATGACAAAGACGAAGATCTCGTTGACGAGGTCGCCAAAGTGCGACTGGTAGTCGAGCGTCGCCGCGCACAGGTTGGGCTCCTTGCGGAGGTAGTGCAGGAACAGGAGGCAGTTGGACAACCAGAAGGCGCAGACCGACATGTCGTCCGGGCGATTCTGCGAGGGCGAGAGGGCGAGTCAGTGACGGCTGCCGAGGGGCGACAAAGGGAGAGAGAGAAGGGGCGACGCACATGTACGGCCGCCTCGATGCGCTCGAGGGCGCCAAACATGAGCTCGTCGACCATCTCGTCGCTGCCAAAGTAGTGCGCGTACCGCGCGCACAAGAACAGGACGTTGGCCGGGATGACGCGGAACTTGCGCGCCGACACTGGCTTGATGGTCGAGATGATGACGTCGAACAGGACAGGCAGCTCGTCGAGCGCGAACACGAGCATCTGGTCGGGCTCGCAGCGGTCCCACACGAACGGGTGCGGGATGCCCTCGACCTCGTCCGGCTCGTCCTCGTCGGGCTGCAGGGGGCGAGGGTCATCAGTACGACAAGTCACAGTCGAAGGGAAAGAAGAGAGGGAGGAGAGACGCACCGTGTCGCCCTCGCCGAGCCCGAGCAGCTCAAAGTCAACCTCGAGGTTCATCGCGCTGTCCCGCCCGAGCTGCGCCCGCCGCCTCGCCTCCTTGTCCCGCTCCTCCTCCTCCACTCGTTCCTTCGAGTCGGCCCAGCTCAGCGCCTCGCTCGCCGCGACGCTCAGGCGCGAGGCCGGTCTCGCTCCTCCTCCTTCTCTCGCGCCGTCCACCTCGTCGTCCTCGCCCTCGTCCCGCCGCAACGCCCGCTCGCGCTCGACGGCCGCCTCCCACGCGCTCTTGAGCACCTCGCGCATCGCCGAGCCCTCGCGCCCAGGCTTGACGAGGTCGCGCGGCGTGAGGCCCTTGTGCGATGCGAGGAGCGGTGACGCCCGGCGGTTGAGGAGAAAGGCCGCGAGCGGGACGTCGTTGTTCTGCACGGCCCAGTGAAGAGGGGTCCAGCCCGCTGCAGAAGCGAGATCCGACGAGTTAGGGCCTGGCGCAGGCAATGGCGAGAAAGAGAGTGGGAGGGAGAGCGGACGCACCTCGATCCGCCTGGTTGACCTTTGCGCCGTTCTCGACAAGTACTCGCACCGCCTCGGCGTGCCCGAGCGCGACGCACGTGCCGAGCGCCGTGTTGCCCTCGTCGTCGGCCGCCTCGAGGTCGATCCACCTGCGCGGCGCCGTGTCGGGCACAGGGACGGGCGGCTCTTGCGGCCGTTTGCCCTGCGCTCGGGACGAGCCAGACAGGAAGACGTCGGCGTTGGCGAGCGAGGCGGCCGTGAGCGAGAAGCGGCGCGCGGCGGCGGCGTTCTCGGTGGTCGAGAGGGTGGGGTCGGGCGGGAGCGAGAGGAGCCACTCGAGCGTGTCGGCGTTGCCGGCCGAGCAGGCGCGCAGGTAGACGCTCGTGAAGAGGGTGCGCTTGTCGTCGGGCGTGAGGGGCGAGTCGGGCGAGAGGTAGGGCGCGAGGTGCTCGGGGAGGCTGTCGCGCAGAGGTGGGGGACGAAGGCGAGGGTCAGGGCTCAAGGTGCGCGTTACTGGTCTCGGCGAGAGGAGGACGTACGGTGGGTTGGGCAGGAGGCTGAGCACGATGCGCGTGTCGCTGCTGGTGGCCGTGGCGAGCAGCCACGAGTTGGACGACGACGACGACGACGACGAGGAGCTTGCGCCGGCGACAGGGTGCGGGTCGGCGATCATGGCGGTCCTCGCGAGCTGCGACAGGCTGGGCGCAGTCCTGGACCGCGGCACGCCGGCGTTGTCCTTTGGTGGTGTGCGCGGGGCGGGCCACGGCAGGGCGCTGGGCAGAGGCGGCAACGGCGGCGAGGGCAGGTCGAGCGGCATGGCGGACGGGCCTCGATGGGCGTGGTGCAGGCTCGCGCTACTGCTAGCAGTGCAGCACGCAGTCGCAGCGGGAGGACGACAGGTCGAGCCTCCTCCGCTCCTCCTCGTCGCGCTGATGAGCGACTCGCGCTCTCCACCTGTATGCAAAGCGGTCTTCTCTGCAGTGCTTCCTGCTCTCGGTCAAGTGGGCGAGCTCGCACGAAGAGGGGCACAGAAAAAGAAACGTAGAACTGCAGCACCTCGTCCACTCCTCGCTGCCGCCGCCCGCTCACTCGTAGCCCTCGCCGACGCCCATGCCCGCGCCCTCCTCCTGCAACCAGTCCCACGCAACCGTCCTAACGGCCTTGTGCATGCCCTTGCGCCGGCGCTCGACGCCGAGCGTGCCGTCGCGGATCTCGAGCAGGCGCGAGCGGTACTCGAGCGTGTCGGCGAGGAACCGGTGCAGGTCGCTGCGGGCGGGTCGAACGAGAGGCGTCAGTGAGGGCTCCAGGCGGGCGACGAGGAGTTGAGAAGGGACGCACGTCAGGCAGTCGTGCAGGAGGACCTCTTGCTCGTTCGGGGTGAGCCTGCAGGGGCGACGAGGGGGCCGTCAGTGACGTGCTCCTGCCGCTGCGCAAGAGCGACAGAGAGAGAGAAAAGGCGAGAGGAGGACGCACGTTTCCATCTGGCCCGTCCCGACCATGCCGCCGCCCGGCCCGGGCACGACCCTCTCCATCTCGACGTCGCCCTCGCTGACGAACAGCCCGCGCACAAACACCTCGGGGTCGACGAGGCGCGCCGCATACTCGGGCAGCTCCTCCTCCTCGACGGCCTGCTGCCCGCGAGGCGGCTTCGACGCGGCCGCGGCGCCCGCCGCGAGTGGCTCGTCGAGGCTGCTGCCCTCGCCCGCGCCCTCGGCCTCGTCCTCGGCGTCCGTGTAACCCTCCTCAGGCGAGCTCTGCCGCGACCGCGTGTGCCGCCCGGACACGCCTCCTGCGCCCGCCGCGCCGCGCGCAACTCGCCCGCTGCGCCGCCGGATTGACGGCTCCTCGGAGAGCGACGGCGCCGGCGTCACTTCCGCCGACGCGACGTCGCCCGAGTCGGCGGCGGCCGTCGCGGCAAGGGCGGGCGTCGCAGGCGTCGCGGGCGTCGGCGGGTCGGCGGCGGTCGCGGTGTCGGCAGAAGGGGCCGCCGGCTCGACCGGGGTGCCGGCGCCGGGTGCGGCGTGCTCGCCCTCGCTCGTGCCGTTGAGCGCCGGCGTAGGGGCGGATGCAGGAGCGGCGCCGGCGTCGGCGGCCGTCGCGGGCGGGTCCTCGGCGCCCGCAGCGGTGACGGCGATGGCGGGAACCTCGCTCGGCGCCGAGGTCGAGGCCATAGGCGCCGCGCCGTTGGCCGCAGGTGCAGCTTCGCCGTCGACGGCGGCGGTCGCGGGTGCGTCGGCGGCGGGCGCCGGCGCGGCGGGCGAGTTGTCGGCGGCTGCACCCTCGGCCGTGGTCGGCTCGGCGGCCTCCTTCATCTCGACGTCTTGCGTCGGCGCAGGCGGCACCGACGCAGTTTGCTCGGCGCCCTCGACGGCCGTAGATGCGGCTGGTGGCGCCGGCGACAGGCCTGGGACCGGGACCGGGTCGGCGACAGCTCCAGGGGCCGAGGGCGCCGAGAGGACGGGCGTCGCCTGCTCGAGCTTGACCTCGTCCTCGAGAGCGGGCGCGCTCGTCGTCGCCGTGGGCGCAGGCGACGCCTCGACGTCCATGCCGTCGACGGCGCCGGCGGTCGGCGCGGGCGCAGGCGCCTCGCCGTTCTGGGCCGGCTGACCCGCCGAGGCCGCTGCCGCCGTCGCCGCCGCCTCGTCGAGCGCGCCCTGCTCCTTGTCGTCACCGACCTTGCGCTCCTCGTCCTCGACCTTGCGCCGCGTCTCGTCGCGCTCGCGCCGCCGCTCGTCGTCGCCGTCCCACCGCCAGTCGAACCCCTCGCCGCGCAGGCCGCGGCACACCTGCGTCAGGGCGCCGACGAGCTCGGCCTCCTGCTCGATGAGGCTCGTCGCGCTCGCGGCGAGGAGGTGGAACGTGTTGTTCTTGCGGCCGAGCGTGTGCTGGACGGCCGGCGTGAGGAGGAGGTCGAGGGGCGACTGCGGGACGGGCGGGAGGTGCGCCGGGGACGGCGCGTCGGGCTCGCGCGACAAGGTGTGCACGCTGCGCGGGACGAGGTGCAGGTTGGGCGCGACGGCGAACCCGCTCGTGCTCGACGCGGCGGCGAGGTCGTTGAGCTTGCGGCGCTTTTGCGCCGGCGGGACGAGCGAGGTCGAGGTCGTGTCGTCGATGAAGCCGGCGTCGACGTTGGCGTGGTGGCCGAGACGGCCTCGGCGGGTGTGCGGGGCGAGGCGCGACAGCTTGTGGCCGCGGTTGGTGGTCGGGATGGCCGAAGCGAGACCGTCGACGGCCCCCTCACCGTCCGAGCCTGATGCGGCAGACGGCGAAGATGGCGGATCGTAGTAAGAGGGCAGGTCGCGAGCAGGCAAAGAGCTGTGTGCGAGGGCTTGGGTCAGTGTCGAGGAGGACAACGTGTAGAGGGCGAGGGCGAGGAGCCGAGAGCCGCCTCGAGGCTCGCCTCGCTCGTCTCTGCCCTCTAAAGTGACACACAGAGAGAAGCCGAGGACGCACAGGATGCCCACGTCCTTGTCTGCGAGGCGCACCCGGTGTTGCGCGGGGTGAGCCACCTCGCCAGGGGCCGCCGGCGCTGCTGGCGCGCCCTGCTTGGCGTGAGTGCTGGTGTGGCCGCCGTTGGTCGTGTTCTGGTTCGAGCGAGTGGCGTCCCGCGCCATCTTAAGCGGGCGGTTGAGCGGGGTCGGGTGCAGGTGGTCGGGCGAGGTGGGCCGAGCCGAGCGAGGCGAGGGCGGCGGCGGGTACGATGGGGAGGGCGGTGGACGGGATGCGAGAGCTAGCTGCACGCTGTCGGAAGCGTCGCTGTCAGTGCTCGTGCTGAGGCGGGGGACAGCCGAGGTGAGGAGACCAGGGCTCGTCGTCGGCACCAGTTCTCCATCGCCCTCTCTCTCTAGTGCGGCGTGGCTGCCATACAAGGGCTCTTGCAATGCATCGCAGCCCAGCGAGCCAGCTGCGCCGCCTGTCCGTGCCGCACTCACCTTTCTCGCCTCGTTCCCTGGCTTCTCATCGCTCGTCCGCTCTCGCTCAACCCAGGCCAGCTCGGCGGGCAGCTGGCTTGCCTGGTCGGGCTATGGGATGCTCCCAGACCGCTACGCGTCCCCAGCCATCACGCGCAGAGGACCGAGGCTCGTCAGGCGACCCTCCTCTCCTCCTCGAACGAGCCGCGTGCCTCTCTGCAGCTCTGCCAGTCCGCCCTGCTCCTTGTTTCGCTAGCCTGCAACCGAGAACGCGAGTATCGGGACCTTTCCGAAGCTGCTGGCTGTCTCTCGCGCCCACGAGAGAGTACAAACTGGCTCTATTCGGCAGACGGACACACTCGCACAGGCCCAACCTCGACGAGGACAAACAGGAGAGACCGAGACACACGCGACGACCTCCGCTCATGCAGCGACGACGGCGCTGTCGACGCCGAGCTCCTTCTCCTTGTCGTCGGCCGCCGCCGAACCGTGCGTCGTCTTGCCGCCGAGCGAGTCGGCGTAGTCGAGCGCCGAGAACGTCGACGGCAGCGCCGCCGGCGGGAACGCGTACGACAGCACGAGGTAGATGCCGCCAGCGACGACGACGCCGACCGGGTAGACGGCCGAGTACACGTAGACGGCGGCGAACGGGATCCCGAGCGAGGCGTTGATGCTGCGGATGAAGCCGGGCAGGCTTGGGACGACGCCGAGCGCGAACGCGACGAGGGCCCGCCAGTTGAAGCCGCCAGTGTACCAGTAGCACGATCGGTGCGTGACGAACAGGTCGGGGAGCGACAGCTGGCGGTGGCGGAGGACGTAGTACTCGGCGTACAGGATGCCGCCGATTGGGGCCTGTCGAGAGAGAGAGAGCGAGTCAGTACGTGCTCGGCTTGATCGTGGGCGAGAGAGGAGAGAGAGCGCACGAGGAAGATCGTGTACCCCTGCGCGACGAGGCAAACGAGGTCAGTGCCGCGCTCGCTGGTGCGAGAGCTAGAGGTGCAGGGGCGCACCCCGAGGAAGCTCGTGAACGTCTTGGCCGAGTTCTGGATAATCTGCTCGAGAGAAGACAGGCGGGAAATGTGGGTCAGTGAGGGAAAGCTCGGCGGCCGGGTAGGTCTCGCAGTGACGGCGAGTCGAGCTCTGTCGCCGCTCGAGACGCCGTCGCCGAGAGGAGGATCGTGGGCGCACCCAAGGGCATGTCACGAGACTGTAGGAGAGACGGCACGAAACTCGAGTCAGTCAAGGGCTCGCTGGTCGAGACGGCGAGTTTGGGAAGGTCGACGGACCCGAGAAGCGCCGTGATGTACTCTGCGACGGGTCCAAGGTGTCAGCGTCACGGTGCGAGGATAGAGTAGGAGAAACAGGGGACGCACGACCGCGACGAATGTTGATATACTTGGGCAGCATGACCATGAGGTCGTTGCCGACCGCCGTCGAGTTGGCTGCGACGCGCCGAGGCGACTCAGCTTGAGGCACACCGACGACGAGGAGAGGTAGAGAGCGTGAGACGTACCAGAGATGTTGGTGGCGAGGACGCTGAGCGCCCAGGGCAGGGCGCTAAAGAACTGGGCAGCCCTCGAGTCCATGAGGCTCGAGACTTGAAGCGGGTTCCAGGTCGCCTTTCCATAGATGGTCTCGGTCGCCGACGTGACGACGACACCCAGGATGGCGCATAGAGTCACGAGGAACGTGAGCGAGAAGATGTTGGACCAGACGACGGTGCGGCGGCTCTTGGCGTAGCGCGTAAAGTCTGCGTCGTCGGCGAAAGATTCAGTCGCGGAACCGGCTTCAGAGCGGCGAGAGGAGGCGTACCGCAGACATTGAGGGCCAGAGTCGCTTTCGGGCCGATCGCGCTGCAGGCAGAAGTGCGAGAGCGTGAGCAGGTTGGCGGGGTCCGAGCGGTGGGCGAGAGAGGACGCACGAGGTGAAGGCGCTCATGAAGACGACGCCCGCCGGCCGACCGTCCTTGATGAGCGTCGGCTTCGAGAAGACGGGGCCGAACCCGTGCGCGCGACCGACTGCCCAGCCAAAGAGCGTGATGCCGAAGATGGGCTGCACGAGGTCCGCATGTCATTTTGGCTCGCCCTGTAGCTCCTCATGGCGGAAAAGGGACGGACCATGATGACGATCTTGACAGCGAACAGGTACTTGAGCTTGGAGATGTGGATCCAGAGGAGAGGGAGCTGCATCGAGGAGGAAAACGGGTCAGCGACGTCGAGACGCACGAGCGCTGCTCGCTCGAGGCAGGCGCCGCACGCCGCTCGACACCGAGAGAGAGAGAGAGAGAGAGAGAGACAGAGACGCACCTGGATGAGGTAGAAGATGAAGAAGCACAGGAGCATGCTCGAGGTGACGTGGGCCGACTCGGGAAGGTGGTTGGGGAACCGCGCGAACGAGGGCCAGATCGCGGTGAGCATCACTTGGACGCATTGACCGCCCTGGTAGGTCTGCGTCCCGAACCAGATGATAGCAGCGACGGCTGTAGGGACGAGGAAAGAGTCAGTAAGGCGGCCGACAGACTCAAAGCTCGACTTGGGAAGGCTCACCCCGGCAGATGACGGCGACGTATGTGCCGTGAACGCCAAAGGCCGTCCGAGCCAAGGTCGGGTAGTTTATTCCATAGCGACAGCCGATATAGCCCGTCGCTGCGGTGGCGAGGGAGATGACGAAGTGGCCGAGAAGGACGGCGCCGATGGTCGCGCCGGGCGACAGGCCGGCAGACACGGCGGACGAGGCGACCTGGTACTGACTGCGTGTTGGCGGAAAGGTGTATAGGTAAGGTAGAGAGGGTCGAGGCGCGAGCGCGATGGTGCGAGTCGGCGCAGAGAGGGGCAAGGGAAGGGCGGGGTTGAGGACGAGGTGACGAGGTCAGTGCGCCAGTTCAGCCGGGCGCGTGCCGCCTCTTGCGAGACACGACGATGGAGGCAAAGGTCGGGAGAGGGACTCACGAGATGCCGAAAGCCTCTGCAAGAGGAAGGGCGAGTGTCAGGACCCGGCGAGGCGAAGGACGGCGAGAGATGAGTCGAAAGGGGCCGACGCACCGGCGAGCCAATAGCCTACCAGACTGAAGGCGCCCCATGTTCCTGCAGGTGAGGACGAGTGGCAAAAGAGGCGAGAGACGGAAGGGATCGAGGGCGAGGGCGACGGTCAGTTTCGCAATCCCGCGCGACGACGAGGACGAGACGACGCACGGAGCGGCGAGTCCTCCGGCACAGGAAGCATGTCGTGCGACGTCGTGATCTCGATGACCCGGTCCTCCTCGTCGCCGTCCTGCGCCGCCCGGACGCCGCCGTCCGAGGTAAACACGAGCGCCGTCGGCTCTTGAGGAATGCGCGCGCGCCGCACCAGGCTCGTGAGGTTGGCCTGCATGATGTCGTCGAGGGGAAGAGCTCGCGGAAGAAGGGGATAGAGAGAGAGAGAGAGGAGCGAAGGAGCCGATAGAAGGCGAGATACCGCGGCGGGCGCGAGGGGACGAGTCGGCGGGGGAGCTTGGCTCGTTCGCCGCTCGAGTGGCACCGGCGGACGACAGCCACGCCGCCGGCCGTCGAGCGCAAGGGCGCGCCCCGCGAGCGACTTATCTCGACGTGATCGAGGGACCGAAAGAAAGGGTCCGCCTCGGGCGAGAAGCGCAAAACTCGGGCGAGCCGGCCGCGCTCTTTGTCCTCGTCGCGCCGACTCTCACCTCGTCCAGTTGCACGACGATGAACCGACGCTGCGCATTGCAGGTCGAGAAGGGGACGAGCTGTACTCAAAGAGACCTGTGACGGGAGGACAAGGGACGAGGGAGGGCGAGAAAGTCAGGAGCGGCTCGGCGAGATCTGGACGCTCCTCGACGAGAGGCTGGGAGACAGAGGACGCACCTGATCGCGATCACCATGCTGCGGCCCCACCGCCTGGCGGACTGCCCCAAACCCCCCATGCCGGCGCCCGGTCGAGCACGTTCAGCCACGCCTCGAGCTCGGGTAGGTCGAGTTCCTGGCCGACGCCTGGCCCACGCACGCTCACGTCCGCCTCTGCGCCGCCGGCGAAGAAGCTGAGCGTCGGCTCGAGCGGCCTCGCACCGCCGACTGAGCCGCCGACGAGCTCGGCGCTCGGCGAGCCCTCAGGCCGCTCGGCAAGCGCCGCGAGAGCGGTGAGCGCCTCGAAAGGCGCACTCGACGACGATGACGACGATGACAGGGCCGCAGAGACTGCTACTCCTGCCGCCATCGCCGTCGGCGCGGAAGCGGGTCCGTGCGGCGTCTCGCGCCGCAGCGCTTTGATGACCTCGCCGTAGTCGTCGCTCGCCGCGTCGGCCTGCATGGCGGACGAGAGGCGGTCGGCGACGGACGAGGCGCGAGCGAGTGCCGCATCGGCCAGGGTCCAGCCGTGGTCGGTACGGGCGCGGTAGATGAGGTGCGACAGGCGCGAGAGGAGGTGGACGGCGGCGGAAGACGGCGCGAGTGGCGTGCTCGGGCGGCGAGATAAGCCGTCTGGGTCGGCTGTCGAAGGTGGCGATGGCTGGATCGAGATGGCGGCGAGCGATAGGCGGATGAGCGACGAGAGGACGGACGACAGGATGTGCGACGTGTCTGCGGCGGCGAGCGAGTCAGTGCGCAGGCCTAGAGGTACAGAGAGATGTCGGGGAACGCACAGGGTAGCCAAGGCTGAGTGCTGCCGAACGAGACCTCGTCGAGCCGCGAGAAGAAATCGACGAGCTCGCGAAAGATGACGACGGTCGAGCCGTCGGGCGCGAACGTGTTGCCGAGGCCGATGCGCACCTCGATGCTGATGCGGCGGACCATGCACCGTAGCGCAAAGAGGCTGAACAGGAAGCTGTCTGTGGGAGAACGAGAATCAGGACGCTGTCGCGGACCGAGATCGAGAACAAGGGAGAGGCGACGGACCCATGCCGATCGGGCGAGGCGACGTGTCGAGGAACGGTCGTGCGCCCTCCTTCATCGCGTTGAGCTCGTGCTCGAGCTGGTCGCACGAGTCGGCGCGAGTCGGCGAGCCGTACTTGTCCAGGGTCGAGACCTCGGCCTGCAGCCTCGCGACGATGACGGCGAGCCGACACGAGTACTGGAAGGCGACGCTGCCGACGTACGACTCGACGTCGTCGCTCGGTGTCGGGAACGGCAAGAGCGGGACGTTTGTGTTGCCGAGCTGAACGTGCGACGGTCGCGAGTTGAGGAACGAGGCCTGCGAGCGGCCAAGGTCGAGTCAGGACGGCCCGCATCGAGGGGTTCAAGGACATGTGAGAGTCGACGCACCCATGCATCGTGGATGCGCAAGGACCACCAGATACGGTCGCGCAACGACTTCTCCCACGCCGGCAAGGCCCAGCGACGCCCGTCGACATGAAGGCCGAGGAGCTGGGCGTGCGCGATCGTCTGTAGGTCCGACACGTCAGGAAATATCGTGAAAGGAGAGGGGAAAGCGAGAGGAGAAGACGTACCCGGGCGAGCAAGCCGTAGTCGCCGCGTTGGTCGAGCGTCGTGCCGAGCTCGAGGACGGCCGTCGCCAGGCCGCTCAGCTTCGGCTGATCGAGAGCGCGCTCGCCCACACGCTCCTCCTTGAGCATGTGCCACGCGTAGTTGCTCGCCGCCTTGTGCTGCGGGAACGACCCAAGCGAGTCGACGAGGATTATGGCGCGCAACGTCGGCGGGAGCGAGTTGATCGAGTGGGACGAGGAGACGGGGAGGACAGGCATACAAGGGTGGATATTGGCCAGGTAGTGCTCGACGATGTCGTCTTCTGAGAGCGAGGGGACGGTGGCCGAGAGGAAGGACCGGATGCGGCGGAGGAGGCTCGCCTCGCGGTCGGCGCAGGCGACTCGATCTATCGAGACATGAGAATCAGTGAAAGTCTCGGCAATGTGGGACACGAGGGACGAGTTGAGGATGAGAGCTCACGAGGTGGAACGGCGTGAAAGAGGATGAACTGCGACCGGCCACGATCGCTCGAAATTTGCCGCGACGTGCCGACCGTCTGGTGGCTCAACAGGTCGTCGGTCAAGGTCGCCGTTACCGCACACGGCTCGACGTTTGGCGACAGGTCGCGGTCGAGCGACGCAAGACCCGGCTGCGACGCGCTCGCGCGCTTGCTCGCGGGCTCGACGGGTGCGTCCTCGGCGGGGCGCTTATGAGCGCGCAGCGCCGCCGTCGTGACCGCCGTAATGCGCGAGTCGAGGTCTGGAGGCGACGTGTGGAACGAGGGCGCGTCGGACACGGGCGGGAAGAAGGCGGAGGAGGACGTAGTCGAGGTCGGGTCGACGAGGTCCTTCTTGGGCCGGGTCGGCGGCGGCAGGTCGAAGGTACACTGGCGATTGGTCTGTCTGCGGATGTTCGGCGTCGTCAGTACGCTGTCGGCGAAAGGCAGGGAAGGTGGGCCGCACGCACCGGCACTCGATGCAGGCACCGCCCTCGCTCGTAATCGCGCACCGGTTCTTGCGCTTGCGACAGGCATCGCAAGGGCGGATCTTCTTGCTCTGCAGGGACGGACAGAGATCAGCTCGCGCAGCCTGACGGGAGCGCGAGGGCGACCGAGTGGCCGCGAGGAAGGGAGAGGAGGGGACGCACCCGAAAGGGACGAGCCGCTGCTGCGCCTGCTGCTGTCGAGCTCGCCGATAGGCTTTGCGACTCTGGCGAGTGCGAGTGCTGCTCTAGTGGCGCGCTTGCGGCCGAGGTGCTGGCGCCGAGGTGTGGGCGGGGGTTGGAGGACGAGGCTGGTGCGACGGGTGTTGGGTGCAGGTGGGCGAGTGGGAATGCAGAGTTGTCGATCATGGCGGTCGTGGGCCGGGTCGAACGGTGTCGGTCAGGCGAGTTGAGGAGGAGGAGGTCGGGGAGAGTGCCGAGGAGCTGATGAGGACGAGCGAGGGCGAGGAGGGTGCGGCGCGACTCGGTCCGGCTGTCGAGCGGGTGGACAGCCCTGCTGAGCTGCTGTCGAGCATTGTCGGCATGCTGCTGAAAAGACGTGAGGCCACAAAAGAGCAAACTCTCACAGAGAGACGGGCGACGACGTGTAAAGTCAACGTTCGCTGCAGAATCCGGATCTACAAAAGCCGCCAGGGCACACTGAAGGTGACTGTACAACATCGAGGCAGTAAAGGGGCGAGGAAACCGGGTCAGAGGAAGAGGTGGCCGCGCTCGAACTTGAGCAGGTCCATCTCGGGCCGGAAGTTGGCGTAGATGGTGTGCGGGTTCTGGAGCGTCGCCGCAGTGAAAGCTGCGTCCTGCGTGAGGGGCAAGATCGAGAGTCAGGGAGATGTCGGGGACCGAGAGAGGGCGGCCCGAGCGGCGCTCGACGAGATCCGCCTTGCGCCCTCGAGAGCTCGACGTGCGCCGAAGCGTCATGTCCCCTCGTCGAGGCAGAGTGAAGGGAGGAGAGACTCGCCTCGTCGTCGATGACCTTCTTCTTGAGCCCGTTGGCGGCCGCCGCCTCGACAAGGAGCTGCACCTTGCACAGGCGCTCGAGGCTCTGGAACAGGTACACGGCCTCGGCGACCGACTCGTGGCCGAGCGTGAGCAGGCCGTGGTTCTGCAGGATGGCGGCGTTCTTCTTCGGGCCGAGCGCGGCGGCAATGTTGGCCCCCTCCTCGGGCGCGAGGACGATCCCGCCGAACGACTCGTACACGGCGAGATTGTCGTGGAACAGGCACGCGTCCTGCGTCATGATGTCGATAGGCTTGCCGAACACGCTCCTGCAGGTGCACATAGACAGGTCAGGACTCGTCGCCGCGACAAAACCGGCGAGAGAAGCGGACGGACCATGCTTTGCCGTGCAGAGAGTGGCAGTGCGCCGCGACCTGCACATCTGGCCTCGCCTCGTGGATCGCGCTGTGGATCATGATGCCAGCAGAGTTGATCGGAAGCTGGGCGCCGTCCGGGTGGACGAAGCCGTCGGGCGAGACGAGGACGAGGTTCCGGGTCGTGATGGCCGAGAAGTGCACGCCGACCGGGTTCATCCAGTACTGCGTGCGGCGACTCGAGATGTCAGTACGAGCTCGACGAGGTCGACAGAGAGAGGAGAGAGAGAGAGAGAGGAGACGCACGTGGTCCGGCATGACGGGGTCGCGCACGGTGATGTGGCCCGACAGGCCCTCGGCGTACCCCTCCTTGCCCCAGTACTGGAAGCCGATGGCCAACTGCTCCTGTGTACCAGGGGAAAGCGTGTCCGCAAAGGGGAGCGCGCAAGAGGTGAGCGATAAGGCTCTGGAGCTGCGCGGGAACGAGGAGCAGCGAGACGCACCTTGACCCACTCGCGCTTCTTGTACGGGTCGTCGAATTGCGGGACGCCCTCCATGTGGATCGTGCCCTCCTTGTTGCCGATGTAGGTGCGCTGGAGCGGGCTCTTCGCGAGGTTCGACAGGTCCTGCTTGAGGTGGGCGGCGGGCGCCGGAGCGGCGACGGGTGCCGGGTCGAGGAGGGCGGGCGCCATGCTGAGTTCTGGTCGTAGCGGTGGAGGTGCAGATCGAGCGAGAGCGCTGTCCAGCAGAGTGCTCGACGGTGTGGAGAAGGGCAAAGAGGCGAAAGCGCCGCCTCGCCGCTCCCCACCGTGCTTGAAGCTCGCCCGAGAGAGTCGGCCGACGGCGATGCCGATCCGCTGCCGAATGGGCGGAGAATCCGATGCGGAGAGGGGTTCGGGTTTCGCCCCGCCCGGCCGTTCGTAACGGACAGGTGCGCGAGTCGCAAACGCCGCCGGCGAACAGGCGCCCACGCCGCGAGCGGGGCGGTGAGCGAGCGGCGGCTGTGCTGGCTCACGCATCGCGCAGCACTCGAGCCAGCCCCTCAGCAGCACAACACTAGCTCTGTGAGTCCTCTCCTCCCAGTCCACGTCCCCACGAGTGAGCGCCGTCTCTCCCTCGCCGACTTTTGTCGGGCGAGCTGATGAGAACGCGAGGCGAGCCCGCTCCACGAGCACGCGCTGTGGGCCCGAGGAGCTGCTTCTGGCCGCTCTCAAGGACGGCTCTGCAGCGGTGCAGAGCGCAGAGAGCAGCCCGCATTGGCGACGCCGGTCGTGGGAGAACCTCTCGCGCTGACCTCCCTCTTCCGCCCCTCCCGCCCGACCTCGCGCAGCCTCTCCCACGCCGGTCATGGGCTCCAACATACTCGTCATCAACCCCAACTCGACTCGAGCAATCACCGATGGCCTGCGCGACGCCCTCGAGCCCTACCGCGCCCACGACGTCGCCCTCAGCTACTACACGGCGCCGTCGCACGCGCCAACGGGCATCCGCGACTTCCGCACCGGCATCATGACAGCCGCGATATGCTTTTCCGACCTCGATGGGACTGGAGCGCTCGAGCGCCACGACGGGTTCCTCATTTGCTGCTGTGCGTCGCGACCGTCCTTCCCTCGAGCCTCTTCCTCGACGGCCGTCTGACTCTTCCTGCATGGCCCAACACAGTCACCGACCATCCTTTACAGCACATGATCCGCGAGCATCTCGGCCCGACGTCGCACAAGCCCTGCATCGGCATGTTCGAGGCCGGCGTCAGCAAGGCGCTCATGCTCTCGCGCAAGTTCGGCGTCCTGTCGACCGGCACCGGGTCCAAGCCGCTCCTCTCGAAGGGCGTCATGAACTTTCTCGGCGCTGCGAGCAGCGACCGGTGGGCGGGCGGCATCACCTCGGGCATCTCGATCGAGGAGCTGCGCGAGCCGGGCGCGAGGGTCGAGGTCGAGCGGCGCATGAGGGAGACAGCGGCGCAGGTGGCACGGAATGGAGCGGACTGTATCATCATGGGCTGTGCGGGCATGGCAGGGATGGAGCCGCTCGTGCGCGAGGGGGTTCGCGAGGCGGGGCTGCCGGACGTGAGGGTCGTCGACGCTGCCGTCGCCGGGCTCGCGATGCTCGTCGGGATGGTCCAGACAGACAGGCCGAGATCCTGATCATTACGCAATGTATCGCCGTCTTGCGCAATCTCGCTCCTCGAGGCGGTGCGAGAGCGCTCGGGCCTTCGAGTTTCGAGAGCAAAGCTTCCCTCGAGCGAGAGCTTGCCTTCTGCCTCGCAGCTTTCGACCAGCTTCTCTCCCTTCTCTCGAGAGTCTCTACACTCCCTGTCGCGTGGCCACAGCCGCAGCTCCGGCGCTCGCGAGGTGCTGCTCGACCTTCTCAAACAGCTGCCCAACTGCGCAAGGTCGCTCATCGCCCGTCACTCGGCTCTCGCGTTCTCGTCTCTCATTCATTGCCAGACGCTCGAGTCGAGCATCTCGCTTGCGCTAGAAGCGGCGACGATCGCAGTGCGCAGGCGAGTTGAGCGGCTCGGCCGCAAAAAAGTGCTCGTTCCAGGTCGCTCGAGCTGCTCATGCTGCGGGCTCCTCAGGCTCGACGACGCCCGTCTGGCTGCAGATGCGCCCGTACATCTCGACGCGACGGTGCTTGGCGAACGCGAACGTCTTGGTCTTGCCCTGCTGGCACGCGTCGAGGTCGATGTCGGCGACAACGAGCTCGTCGTCCTCGGTCTGGTTCTCGGCGACGATGTGGCCCTCGGGGTCGACGATCATTGAGCCCGAGATGAGCGGGTGCACGCCGTCGTCGACGCCGCAGCGTGCCGAGGTGATGAGGAAGGCTGCGAGCGGGCGAGAGGAGGCGGAGGAGAGGGTCAGTGCGAGGAGCGTCGAGACCGACGGCGAAAGAGTGAGGAGGGGGACGCACTCGAGTTGGTGTAGGCGTTTGACTGACACACGAGCTTGTGGTGGAACATGGCGTCGGCGTACGCCTCGTCGCGGCTCATCGACGCCGGGTCGACCCCCCACAGCTGCGGCGCCCAGGCCGTCGTGTTGTACCCGATGCAGACGATCTCGACGCCCTGCAAGCCGAGCACTCGCCAGCCCTCGGCCCACCGCCGGTCGTTGCAGATGAGCTGGCCGACAATGGGCGACTTGGCGCCGCCGCACGCCTGCTTGAGCGACGGGGCCCGGAACGCGTTGAAGCCGAGGTCGCCCGGCGTGAAGTAGCGCTTCTCGAGCTGGTTCGTGACGCCTGGCTCCTTGCTGAACGGCTCGACGGTACCTGCGTGCGCACGAGAGTCAGCTCGAGTCGGGGAGAGGAGAAAGGAGGAGGGGTTCGGGGCGCACCGGGCAGGTGGATCTTGCGGTACTTGCCCGCCGTTCGACCGCTCGAGTCGACGTACGATGCCGAGTTGAAGCGCTGGCCGTCGGCCGTCTCCTCGCCGTACCCGATCGCGACGTCGACGCCCAGCTCCTTTGCCCGGTCGAAGAAGGCCTTGACCGACTCGCAGTGTGCGATGCCCTCGGCCGGCTCCTTCTCGAAGTAGGACGACAGCTCGGCGTCGTCCTCGATGAAGTAGCGCGGGAAGAAGGTCGAGAAGGTGGTTTCGGGGAAGACGGCCAGCTTGACTCGCTGAGCGGCGGCCTGCTCGAGGAGGGCGACGAGTCGAGCGATGATGTCGGCGCGAGGTGCGCCGCGGTCGATGCGGCCGACTTGAGCGGCGGCGACTCGGAGCTTGCGGACCATTGTGGGCTGCGAGGTGGGCGGGGGAGGGCGGGCGAGGAGGAGGAGGGTGGGAAAGCGAGGACGAGGCGTGCGGCGGCTCGAGGCTGGTGCGGCACAGCTGATGAAGACAGGGAAGCAGTAGACGAGCAAATTGAGCCTGCAGGGGGCAGCAACAGCGAGGCAGAGCCGGCGGAAGAAGGCTGGCCGACGGCGGATTGACACGGCCGGCGGCCAACTCTCAAACAGTCCACCACCCGCTCGCGAGAGCTCACAGCCATGCTCGCTGTGCAGCAGAGCCTCATCCAAGCCACTACCACGCCCTAGCGCAGCCATGGCGGCCGCCCGCTCGCCTCACGGCCTCTCTTCTCCCGTCATCAGTCCGTCCCTCCTTCCCCTCGACTCCCTCTCGTTCTACCACGTCAAGTAGCTGATCAGGCTCACTCCCTGCAGTCATCGGAGCCGGATGCATCGGCCTCACTACCGCCGTCGCGCTCCTGCGCCGAGGCTTCCCCGTCCTCGTCCTCGCCCACCACCTTCCCTCCGACCCGCTCTCGCCCGACTACTCGTCCACCGCCGCAGGCGCGCACCACCTCTCGTTTGCCGCCAGCGACGACTGGCGACAGCGCTACCTCGACGTCAAGACGTTTGACGTCCTGTGGAGCGAGAGCGACGACCGCGACGAGGGCTTGCACAAGGGCGTCATGCGTTTGACCCAGACAGAGCTGTGCGTCCCCTCCAGACTGCTCGTCCACCTGCGGAGGATACTGAGACTCACTCGCTTCCACAGGTACAAGGGCGACCTACACCTGCGCCTCCTCGAAGAGCTGCCCGACGTGCGCTCGACCGCGACGACCTCTTTCCCGACGCCCCACCTGACGCATCCTTCTCTCCACAGTTCCGCATACACGACGCAGCAACACTTCCTGACGGGTCCGTCGATCCGCGATCCAGTTCAGCGCTCGACACGACGCTCACGCTCTCCCTCGTCGTCCGCAGGATCGAGCACGCCGTCTCGTTCTCCTCCGTCACGATCGAGCCAGCTCGCTACCTCGTGCGTTCACCTCTTTCTCTTCCCCGGATCCAGTAGCCCTCGAGTTGCCCGCTGACGAGCCTTGCTCACGCGCAGGACTACCTGGTCCGCACCGTCACCTCGCTCGGCGGCACCCTTCAGCGGGTTCCTCGACTCGACTCGCTCGCGCAGGCGAGGTCGTACGCCAAGTCGCCGCTCGCCATCGTCAACTGTACCGGTCTGGGTGCTCGCGATGTGCGTCTCTCGCTCTCTCCCCCTTTCCTCCACGTCGTCGAACGACTCGAGCGAGCGCGCAGCCTCTCGAGCCGCGCCCGCGCTCGCTCTCAGCATGTGAACATCCTGACCCTCTCGCCCGCTCGACAGCTCGCCGAGACGCAGGACAAGACGGTCGTGCCCGTGCGAGGCCAAGTCCTGCGCGTGCGAGCGCCCTGGATCAAGACGGGCTGGACGCGCCAAGTCGGCGCCCTCGGCGGCGCAGAAGGCGGCGAGCGCACCTACGTCATCCCACGCGCGAGCGGCGACGTCATCCTCGGGGGCACGCGCGACGCCGACGACTGGGAGCGCGAGCCACGCCCAGAGACGACGGCCGACATTGTGCGGCGCGCGCTCGAGATCTGCCCGGCGCTCGCGCACCCGCCGCATGCGACCGAGCCGTTCGACGTTGCCGGGCTCGTCGTGAGCGAGGTCGTCGGGTTCCGGCCGACGAGGGCGGACGGGATCCGGCTCGAGGCCGAGACGGTTCGGCTCGAGGGCGAGGACGTCGGTGCGCAGGGGCAGCGGCAGGGCGAGGAGTTGACGGTCGTGCACAACTATGGACACGGTGGGTACGGGTGGCAGTGTGCGTGGGGCTGCGCCGAGGAGGCGGCGAGGATCGTCGGCGAGGAGGTGCGGCGCAAGGGCGTCAAGGGCGGGCCGGCGGTTCTTCTCAAGGCCAAGCTGTAGCTCTCGTTCTCGTCTGTGCGTGCTGCAAGGCTCTATTTCGACGTGACTCGCAGCTCGTAATGTCCCGAGACTGAGCGCTCGTGAGCGAGCGCTCGAGCCCTCTCTCGCCGCTTCGCTTTCCTTTGCGCTCGTCGCCAACACTCCTTTGCTCGTCGCGCCGCGCAAAGCTCGCAGGGGGCACTCGCAGCTCTCGCAAGGGTTTCTAGATGTCTGGAGGGTGCGTCAAAGTACAACAAGGGAGCTTCTACTGCGCCGCTCGCCGTTTCTCCTCCTCGGCCTCCTCGACGTACTGCGGCCTCCACTCGCTGAGCCACTTGTTCCTCGGTCCCGCGAGCGTGCTCCTGCCGCGCTTGAGGAACCGGCCGTAGCCCTTGGGCGCGACGACCTCGTTCGTCGCGCCGTCGTACACGACTTGGCCGCGCAGGATGGTCAAGACGGGCCAGTCGTCGACCGGGTGGCCCTCGAACGGCGTGTAGTCGCACGCCGAGTGCAGCTGTGGGCGAGCGAGAAGAACGAGGAGGGAGAGAGAGGGTGTCAGGGAGAGATCGAGAAGGAGTAGAAGAGAAGGAGAGGAAGAGGGATCGAGCGCTGGCGCACCTTGTCGACCGTGACCTTGGACGTCCTCCTCGCCGACGGCTTGCGCCAGACGACAAAGTCGGCGTCACTGCCGGGCTGAATCGTGCCCTTGGCCGGGTAGCAGCCGTACAGCTTGGCGGCGTTGGTGCAGTTGAGCTCGACGAACTTGGACGGCGACATGCGGCCTGCGCGAGGGAGAGGACGGGGCGTCAGGACCAGGCTCGGGGAGAGAGAAAGGGAGGGAGAGAGAGCGCGGGAGAGAGAGAGAGGGAGAGAGAGAGAGGGAGAGAGGAAGAGAAAGAGCCGGGCGCACCTCGGCAGACGCCCTCGCTCCACATGAGCGGGCCCCTCGTCTCGACGCCGGGCAAGCCGTTCGGGATCGCGCGAAAGTCGCCCTCGGGCCGTCCCGGCGCCTTGGTGAGGCCGAGCTGCTTGCCGTGCGGGTCGTTCCACTTGGTCGGCGCGTGATCGGACGACAGAACCGTGACGCAGCCGTTGACGACGTTCTCCCACACGCGCTCGCGGTCCTCGGGGTTGTCGCGCAATGGCGGGGCGCAGCACGCTTTCGCGCCTTCAAAGTTGGGGCGGCGCATCTCGTCGGCCGTGAGGAGGACGTAGTGCGGGCACGTCTCGGCGTAGACGCTCATGAGGCGGCTCTGCGCGGCGCGGATGACCTTGAACGCGTCGGGCGCCGACACGTGGACGAACAGGACCGGGCAGTCCATGAGCTCCGACAGGGCGAGGACCCGGTTCGTCGCCTCGCTCTCGACGATGGGCGGGCGAGACGTGCCGTGGTGGATGGGCGCGAGCATGCCGCGAGCGGCGAGGTCCCGCGTCATCCAGGTGATCATGTCGGCGTTCTCGGCGTGTATCACTGTTGCAGAGAGAAAGCTCGTGAGTGGGCGCGCGAAAGAGAGAGGGAAGGAGCGTGAGGGAGAGGGAGAGGTGAGGGGACGCACTCGTCGTGACGCCGTACTTGCGAGCGGCAAACAGGCAGTCCATGATCTGGGTGTCGCTGAGCTGCAGCGCCGGGTACGTCGAGTAGATCTTGACCGACGTGATGCCGTCCTCGACGAGCTTGGGAAGCTCGACGTGCATCTGCTCCTCGCTCGGGTCGGTGACGATGACGTGGAACGAGTAGTCGCACACGGCGTTGCCCGTCGCGAGCTCGTGGTAGGCGTCGACGGCCTTGAGCATCGACTCGCCGCGGTTCTGCACGGCAAAGGCGATGACGCTTGTCGTGCCGCCTGCGACGGCCGAGCGCGTCGCGGTCGTCCAGTCGTCGGCAGACTTGGCGCCGAGCGACTTGGCGGCCGACTGGGCGATGTGGACGTGCGAGTCGACGAGCCCGGGCTGTGCGAGGAAGGGGAGGGGAAGACGAAGGTCAGTCTGCGTCGACGAGGGGCTCGCTCGCTCGAGGGGGAGAAAGGTCGGCGGCGCACCGTGACGTAGCCACCATCGGCGTCGACGACCTTGCAGCCGTCGGGTACAGGAAGGTTGGCCATGAGGAGGACGACCTTGCCGTCCTTGACCGCGACGTCGCACTCGACCTCGTCGCTCGCCGTCACGACGATGCCGTTCTTGATGACCAAGTCGAAGTCGAGTGCGAGAGACATGTCGGTGTACAGGAGCGAAGCGCAGGGGTGGCTCGAGTTCGAGCGTGCGCGAGGAGGAGGGAAGAGGGAGGACGAGCGCGAGTGTGGGGAGGAGGGATGATTGAGGACGCGCGCCGTGTCGCTGCGGCCGCCGTCGACGCCGCCGGCGGACTGGTTGGCTCGGCCGGCGCGGCCGTAAACTCGAGCGAGATTGAGCGGGCGCCTTCCTGGCCGAGGAGGTCGAAGGGCGGCTGTCGCGCATTATCGGGGCGGACGAGGACGAGGGCGATGGCTTGTGCTCTTGCGCCGGACAGGATGAAGGCTCGAGGCGCCGTCGAGTGGACCAGATCGCGTCTTGTCGCTGCGCTCGTCGACGAGGCGGAGGCGAAGGCCGGGGGCGGAGGAGGGGAGCGAGCAAGCCTCGGCGGCTCGTACTGGCGGACGGGCTCCTCGAGGCCGGGGCTGGTCGTGCTGGAGCTGTACTTGGCGGTTGACTGGGCCGCACGCACTGCCGCGAGGCGACGGGGGCGAGTTGCTCGTCGCGGGTCGAGAAGAGGTGCCAGCTCTCGGCTCACGCCGCTCGGGCGGGGCGAGTGACAGGGCAAGCGTGCAGCGAAAGAGCACAGTGCAGACCGTACGCAGTCTGTGGCATTGCACCGGTGCGAGAGCTGCTTGACGAGAGCGAGCTGCGTGGGCGAGAGCTCGCCGCTCCTCTCGCTCCCGTCCTCACTCTCGACAGCTCTGAGGCCAGCCAGACTCGCGCACAGCTCGCGCTCGAGCACCCTCGCCAGCCCGTCGACCCGTCCGCGATGGACGACAACCCCTGGGGAGCTCCCTCAGCCCCATCGTCTCCCCACCTCGACCCGACCTCGCACTCGCTCCAGCTCGAGCAAGAGCCCCGCCTCTCGGTCGACATCGACGACGACGACGACCTCGCACCCACCTGGGGCCAAGACTCGCCAGGGGACGCCGTCGCCGCGCGACTGCCTCCCGCCGCACCGGTGACGGACGACAAGGGCGAGGGTGCGCTCGCGGGAGAGCCCGAGCAGGGAGAGGGGACCGCCAGGACCAGCTTCGACGAGCCAGCAGACGGCGTACAACAAGCACCAGCACCCGTCAAGCCGACATCGCCGACCTCGCCTCCTCCTCCTCCTCCTCCCGCTCACGCCGACTCGCCAGAACCCGCCTCGCCGCCACCTAATCCTCCCAGTCCTCCCGCACCGCCCACATCCCTTCCTACCCTGTCGTTCGACGACTCGCTCCTCGACGAGGGCCCGCCCATGGACGACTTTAGCGACGTCGACGACGAGCCCGTCCTTGCGAGCGTCGGCGCCGATGGCGACGACGACGGCTTCGGCGCACCTGCCGACGACTTTGACGACTTTGGCTCGGTTGGCGAGGCGGGCGACGACGACTTTGGCGACTTTGGCGACGCCGCGCCGCTCGACGAGGCGGCGTTCGACGCTCCCGCACCTGTCGCACCGCCACCAGCGCCCACCGCCGCACCCGCACCCGTGTCGTACTCGGCGTACCCGCCACTGCGCCTCGACCTGAGCGACACGAGCCGCCGGGCGGTCGCGCCGCAGCTGCGCGACTTCTTCGCCGAGGCGTGGCCGGCGAGCCTGCAGGCGGTCAACGACGACCCGGAGCGGCAGGTCGAGGGCCCGGCGCAGGTCCTCGTCACCGAGTCGTCGTACGTCTCCTCTCCTTCTCTCACCGTGCGGCGCGTCAACGAGGAGGAGCCCGTCACTGACCCGCTCGTCGAGCCTCGCTGTCGCCCGCAGCCGCAACCTGTTCACGACCCTGTCGACGGTCCCGCCGCTCAAGCCTCTCGACTGGCGCCGATCGCGCATCCGCCGCGAGCACCTCATCTCGATGGGCATCCCGGTGAACCTCGACGAGGTGCGTCGCACGAGCCACTCGCCTCTCTCCCTCGTCTCGATCGAGCAACGAGCATCGATCCTGACATCCATCTCTCACCTCTACAGTCGACCGAGCCCAAGATCTCTGCCCTGTCGCTCTCGGCGTCGCTGCACGTCCCGTCCCGCCCTTCGTCGGCGCCTCCCCTCGCCGGTTCCCCCCTCCCCTTCCGCTCCAGCTCCCCCTCCTCGACCCCTTACGGCGCCATGCGCGCGTCCGCCTCGCGCTCCCGCACGGCGCAGCACTCGCCCGTCCCGACGTTCGACCGCGCGCGCGCGACCGAGCTCCTCGCGCTCGCCGAGGACGACCTGACGCTCCTCGGCCTCGAGCGCCTGCGCGCCGTCAGCGACGAGCTCGAGAAGATCAGCGTCGACGCGAGTGGCGCCTTGACGCATGCGCTCATGACGCGCGAGAAGGAGGGGCAGGACAAGGAGGTCTACAACGGCATGATCCAGGTCCGTCCCGGGCCGCTTTCTCTTTCGCTCGAGGTGCCGTCACTCCTTGCGAGCGATCGGGCATCTCTGCTTCTTGATGAGGTTTCGGTACTGACTCTCGCTGTCGATGCGTGCGCCTGCAGGACCTCGTCGTCGCGGCGGCCAAGATCAAGACGTCGTCGCCCAGCTTGGGCAAGGCGCCGCAGCGCCAAGGGAGCGGCAGGTGGAAGCTCACGGGCTCGGTCAAGTAGACGAGGACGGCGTGTGTGTATTGCATTGTCGCTCGACGAGGTCGCTCGGCTGTGCGGGCGAGGAGAGGAGAGAGGTGCGAGGTGCGAGGTCGGGGCGGCCCTCGTCTCGCTCGTCCAGGGCGTCGGGCAATTTCCTGCGGGCGTGAGATGCTGTCATGAACGAGTCTCGAGAGCTGCTTGACGCTGCAACGAGCGAGCGAAAGAACGTTGTGCCGCGTCGCCTCTCCTCCTCGTCAAGTCCACCTCCCTCGCTCGTCACCATGTCTGGAACCTGGGACACGTCTGCGCTCGAGCAAGCCGAGGCGCTGCGCCTGACGACCTTTACGAGCGAGACGGCGTTCGAGCTCGGCGTCTTGATCCGCGACCGGATCCGCGACGAGTTCCCGGGCAAGGGCGCCATCGTCGACATTCGCGCTGCGCAGAGCGAGCAGCAGCTCTTCTTTGCCGCGTCGGCAGAGGGCAGCCTTCCGGACAACGCTCAGTGAGTCCCGCCCCCACCGTCCTCCCCCTCCTCCTGGACGAGCTCTCACTGATGACGCTCCTTCCGCACAGCTGGGCACAGCGCAAGCGCAACGCCGTCCTGCGGTGGGGCAAGAGCACGGCGTCGCTCAACCTCAAGGGCTGGGGCACGACCGGGATCCCGGCCCACTACGGCGCCAACAACGCCGACGTGAGCAGCAGTCCTCCTCGTCCTCCTCTCTCCCTCTCGCCTGCACACCGGGCCCCGAGCCGACGAGCTCTCATCCTCCTTGCAGTACGCGTGCCACGGTGGCGGCTTCCCGCTTCGCGTCAAGGGCGTCGAATCCCTCGTCGGCGTCGTCGTCGTCTCGTGCGTCCTCGCTTTCTCTCCCTCTCCCTCTCTCTCTGTCCCTCTCTCCCGCGCCCTGTCCGAAACAAGCTCACCCAGCTCCTCCCTCTCGCAGCGGTCTCAAGCAGGAGGAGGATCACCAGGTCATCGTCGACGTCCTCACCGAGTTTGTCGCAAAGCAGGACCAGGCCGCCGCAAAGTGAGCCTCGGTTGACCAAGCTGTACATACCCAGAACCGCGCGCGCGTCTGCAACAGAGCCTTTCAACTATCCCTCGTGTTTTACTGCCACGTGCGAGCGAGAGAGAAGAGCTAGACAGAGAGAGAGAGACGTGCGACGAGTCGCGCAAGCGGGACCAGGCTCGTGCGCAAGCTCTTCAGCGTCGAGGCCGCAAGCGGTACCACGCCGGGTCGGCCGCAGCGACGCAAAGAGTGTGTGTAGAGAGTGTGTGCGTGTGCGCCTGCGAGGCACAGCTTGAGAAGCTATAGTTTCGTCCGCTGACCCTCCAACCTTCTCGACGCTCTCTCCCTCTCGCGCTCTCGCTCTCGCAGTCGGCTCGGCGAGCACGTACAGACCTTGGGTTGCATTTCTCCGAAAGAGTGGCTGTCTGGGGAAGCGAGGACGGACGAGGGACAAGTACAGGGGAAAAGGGAAGGGAGGAAAGGGCTGCGCGAACAACGAGCGACGACGACGAGGGCGGTAAGGAGGAGGGATGCCAAGGATTAAGCGCCGACGAGGGAGGTAGGACGAGGGTTGCGAGCGAGGAAGGGAGAAAGGGAAAGGGGAAGTCGAGCGCGACGAACGGCGAGGCGCTCAGTCCTTCTTCGACTGGTCGCCGACGGGGAGGACAAAGTAGGACGTCTCGGGCGTGAGCAGGTTGGCCGCCGCGACGTACCACGCGTTGAACGCAGTCTGCGAGTGGGCGAGGGACAGCGTCAGTCGGGCTTGACTCGAGAGGCTCGTGATTGCGAAGGCGGTTCGCCCTAGGGCGGCAGGACGGTTCTCGCTGAGGCTGAGAAGGAGGACGAGGGACGCACGATGATGCCGAAGGCGCCACCGGCGGTGTGAATCGCCGACGAGTTGCCGACGTTGCCGAGCTCGGCGATGCCGAGAAGGAGGAAGGTGACTGCGAGCGGACGCACAGATGGGTCAGGACGAGGTGAGGAGGGGTGAATGGGAGAGGTAGACGCACTCGTGAGGAAGAAGAAGACGCTCGAGAGGGCGATCGACGACCGGAGCGACGCGATGAGCATGATGAAGGTGAAGCTGGATGAGAGGGTGCCGAGGCGTCAGTCGACCGGCTCTATTCCTCCTGACAGCGAGAGGGACGCACATGAACCAGCCGAACAGGAAGAAGGCGACACTGTCGACAGGCGAGAGAGGCTATCAGTGTCTGGTCGACCTCGGAAAGGAGGTTCGAGCGCAGAGAGAAAGAGAGACGGACCCGTTGGCGAACATGCCCTCGTCCTCGTACGACGAGCCGATCTGGGCCCACGGCGAGACGATGCTGCAGGGAGTGCGAGAGAGCGCAGGACAGGCGAGAGGAAGGGAGAGAAAGTCAGGGACTTGGACGGTCGAGAAGAGGGAAAGGGAAAGCCGGCTCGGCGACGCACAAGGCGTACGAGAGCCAGAAGCCGCCGTACGAGCTGAAGGCGGTGGCAGCAAAGGTGTTTCTGCGGGAGAGGCGCGAGTGTCAGTCAACCGTCGGGGAGAGAGCGGGGCTCGGAAGAAGGCGTCGGGCGGCTTCTGCACGAGCGGCGACGAGCGGCGCGAGGGCCGCCCCCGCACGACGTCGAGAACGTGACGCACCCGCTGGCAAACTCCCACACTGCGCGAGGAAGGGAGGAGAGAGCGTCAGTACGTGCGACTGTTGGGAGAAGAGGAGCGAGGAGGAAGAAGGTGGACGCACTTCCGGCGAGGAGCTGGGCGAGACCACCGTAGAAGAGGGCCTGTACGACGACGATCGCGAGGGTCAGTCGGCGAACGTCGTGAACAAGGGAGAGCGAGGAGGACGCACAGGGCCGACGACGACGTTGGGGACCGTGACGCCGCGGGTGCTCACTGCGCGAGGAGGACGAGGACCGGGTCAGTGCTCGTTGCTCTACCCAGAAGAGACTGTGCTGCTCTATAGAGGGCGTCCGAGGCGCGCAGGGCGAGGCGAGAGAGGCGGACGAAGAAATGAAAGTGCGGAGCACCGCGCTCGATCCTCCTCCGAGTCGCCCCGCCACCAAGAAAAGACCGGGCCCACTCACTGTTGATGAGCGAGAGCATGAAGGTGGTGAGGGCAAAGCCGCAGAGGCCGAGCGGTGCCGGGTTGGCGAACCGACGGTGGTAGACGGGGAACGCAGGCTGGCTCTGCGCGCGTCATCGACGAGAGGAGGGGTCAGCTGGCTGGGCTCGATACAGAGAGAGAGAGCGTGAGGACGAACCCTGTCGAGCGGGTGGCCACCCGGGGTCACGTTGCGCAGGTTGAGCGGCGCACCGCCCTCCTGCGAGAGGTACGCCGGCGTCGCCGCCTGGCCGTTGTGGTGCGACGAGTGGACCGGACCGTGGCCGTTGAGGCCGGCCGTCTTCTCGACGTCGGCGCCGTTGTGGACAGAAGAGCCAGAGGTGGAAGCCATGGCGAGAGTTGCGGAGGTTAAGGTTTGACGAAGGCGAGGTTCGAGCGAGCGAGGCGAGGACGCGGCGAGCAAGTTCGAGGTGAGGGAGGGAAGAGCAAAGCAGTGGGAGCGCTCGCCGGCCCCAGGTGTGGCTCGCCGCGCTGAGTCCTTCTCGATGAGTGAGGCTCCCCTTTCCCCACCTTGCCGCCGTGCGAGGGGCTCCGACCCTTGCGCGCCGCGCGTTCTGCCCTGGGCTTGCGTCAAACTCGGTCGCGCCGTCACTCCTTCCGCCCGACCCAAAGTGGGGAAAGGGCGCGCTCGTTGCGAGAGAGCTGCGGTCCCTTCCGAGCGCGGTCGCAGGCGAGCCGCGAGCCGGCGGCAGACGAGGTCAATGCGGCACGCTCAGATTGGTCGCTTCGGACTCCGGCCGTCCGTTCCGGAATGTGTTCGTCCCCCCCACGGCGCACACGCCCTCCCTGAATCGGCAATGCGCCGTCTCCCTCCATCGTGCACGGGCCTCGTCTTGAGGAGGCTCTCTCTCCTGTGCGCAGGCGAGAGAAGTCAGAGCGTCTGCCTGTGCGTCTACCGTCAAGCCAAGCTGTCTCTGCTCTTCCGCTCGAAGGTGTACGACAAATGCGAGAGGCGAAACAGCGCGGGCAATCGAGAGCGACGGAGCGATCCGCAAGCGGGGACAGGCTGGAGCGCTCGCCGGCCGCGTGACCCGGGTGCGTCGACTGTCCGACGAGTCGCCAAACAGCGCGGCGCGCAAGAGAGGCCGCAGCAAGCCCGAGAAGCTCTTGCTTGAGCTTCGCTCGCTTGGCCGACGCAACGTCGAGCCGAGGAGGCTGCCTCGTCCAGAACAGCGGGAGGCTGGGAGCCGAGTGAGGAGCTCGAGAGGCGAATACAAACGGTCGTCTATGCTCAAACACAAGCGTAGCTAATCGACCTCGCGCGCCGACCTTCTCGCACGCAGCTCCCCCCTAACAGCCGCAACGGCACACGAGCGCCTCGCAATCGTCGACGCCGACCCACCGACGCCCTCACGCCGACCCACCGTCGCTGCTCTCGCCCCCAAAGTCCATCTCCTCCTCGCCCCCTTCCTCGCCCTGCGCCCGCTCCCGCTCCTCGCGCTCCCGCTCGCGCGCCGCCCTCGCCCTCTCGCCCTCCTCGATCCGGCGCCGCACGAGCTGCTCGTCTGGCGGCACCCTCGCGAGCGCCTCGTGCGCGTCGCTCGCGCGCCAGGCGACCCAGTGCGTGCGAGAATCGAACAGCGAGGTGCGGTAGTCGACGAGGTGGAGCAGTGGCGGGAGGGGCGAGAGCGGAAGGGGAGGTGGTGGCTCGACAGGCGGGGGAGGAGGTGGCTGCGGCGGCGGTGTGCCAGGAGGAGGAGGAGGTACGTCGTCTGGGGGAGGAGGAGGTGGTGGGGCACTCGGCGGCGGCGGCGGTGGAGGCGGTGGCGACGAGGCTGTAGTGCGCGACGGTGGCGGCGACGTCGAGCGGTCGGGCGACGGCGAGCCGGGGTCGTCCTGCTCGTCGGCGCCCCAGACGGCGAGGTCGTCGACATCGTCAAGGTCGGTCACCTCCTCGTCCGCCTCGGCTTGCGTGACGCGCAGCACTCGTTCCCGCATGAGCGTGAGAGGATCTGCGTGCGCACCAAAACACAGAACTAGTCAGTGAGGGCCAACCTCGACAGCGGCCGTCGACCGACAGAGAAAGGAAGTCGCGGGCGCACCTTGCTCCCTTTCGCGCCTCGTCCACCCCCTCGGGTACCCCTCTCTCACCATCCTCCGCACCCACTCGTACGCGCTCGTCTCGAACCTGCCCGCCTCCCCGCCGAGCCCGAGCGCGGCCCGCAGCTCGGCGCTCACCTCGCCCGGCCGGAACCGGTCGACGAGCGCGACGAGGCGCTCGCGCGTCGACGGCGGGGCGGCGCCGGCGCTCAGGCGCGGCATCGAGCTCGCCGTCGTGCCGCGCGAGGCGGCGTAGGCGGCGCGCGCGGCCGAGATGGTCGACGGGTCGTGGCGGAACGGGCAGTCGCGGACCGAGTGCGTCGGCGAGCCGCAATTGAAGCAGGCGCGTTGCGGGACGAGGTGGTTGAGGATAGTCGGAGGAGGAGCGGTGGCGTCGGCGTCGAGAGGCGAGTTGAGTGTCGAGGGAGGAGGGCTGGCGCGCTCGCCGAGGATTTCGAGGGTCGAGGCTGTCGAGGGGAGGTAGTCGTACGAGAAGCCGAGGCCGAACGAGGCATAGTGCGAGTCGTCGACGATGGCGGACGGCGAGGCCGTGACGAGAAAGAGTGGCGGGCCGTCGTCGTCGCCGTCGTTGTGGCCGTGGTCGAGAGGTGCGCGAGGAGGAGAGGTCGGGGTGGTCGGGCGCGAGTCGGAACGTGCGCGCTTGGCCGCCGGCTCGTCGATGTCGTCTTCTGCTGGACGTTTGGAGGCTGTGTGAGGACAGAGTCAGCCAGAGGAACGAAATCGAGAAGGGGAAAGAGAGGGCGCACCTGCTAGCGGCTCGTCTCGTCGTCCCTCGTCACGTTCCTCTCTGCCGAGCTCTCGATGCGGTTCATCTCGTCGGTCCATTGTCGGACGAGTTGTGCGAGCTTGGCCTTGTCGATGCGGTGCTTCATCACGCGGCCGCCGCGACCTTTCCTGCCAGCGAGCGCGTCGAGCGAGTCGTCGATGCTGTAGTGCACGACGGGGATGTCGTACTGCGGGGCGTGCGGGATCTCATGAGCTCGAGGTACAGGGTAGTGGGAGATAGAGGGCGAGACGGACCTGGTACAGGCGCCTCCAGGCGGTGCGCTCGTACTCGAGGTCGTCGAGGCCCGGCTGGCGCGAGATGTCGTACAGGCGCAGGTGGAAGGGTGCGGTGGCGGCGACGTGCTTGAGGTCGATCTTGGCGACGTCGCACAGGCTGCACGAGCCGCCCTCCTTTGTGAAGAGGGTGAGGGTCGGGAGGCGGAGAGGTGGACGCGGCGGCATGCGACGGCGGCGCGGGCAAGCTAGGCGCGAGGGTGCGGCCTGGCCCGGGTCGTAGTGTGTAGGACTGGCGAGGTGTACGAGTCGCTCAGCTGTCGATTTGAGCGTGTCGGCGATGCACAGAGCGAGTGGTCGAGAAGAGAGATGGCGACGGATGACGGCGAGCTCTCCCGTCCGGCTCACCGCTCAGGCGGGCTAGCTAGAAGAGCAAGGACGGTCCATAGTAGCTTGCAAGTGACCTACCCTGCACCAATCGCGCTCTCGGACGCGGCAATGCTCTCATCGCCTCGTCGCGCGCCTTCATCGCCGTCGAGCTCTCTACCCTCGCCAGCGACCGCTGCCGCTCTCGCGTGCCCGTCCAGCCTCTTCACGAGAGCGCCCGAGTGCCCAGGCGAAAGCGCTTAGCCAGTGCGCCGTCGTCGCCGCCCTCCTGTCGACCCCGCCAACTCGGATCGCCTCGAGCACCGCCGCGAGCAGGCCAACACAGCCGACTTGCGGGCCTGTACTTGGCCGCCAGAGCATCTCGAAGCAGCTCTGCGCCATGTTCGGCTCGCTCCTCGGGTCCCTCGCCAACGTCGTCTCGTCCACCGCCTCGTCGTCGACCGCGTCCTCGTCGCCCGCCGGCGCGACACCATCCGACTCGCCCACTGCGCCTTCCTCGCCAGCACCTCCACCCGCACCTCCCTCCGCCGCACCCACGCCCGCACCCGCAGCCGCGACCGACCTCGACGACCCCGCCTTTGCGCGCTCGGCCTACTTCCAGCGCCTCCTCAAGCGCGGCACGCACGACGAGGGCCGCATCAAGGCCATCAAGGAGGCTGCGCTGCGGGACGGTCCACCGAGGGAGCCGGGCCCGGACGAGTGCTGTAACGAGGGGTGCGCGCTCGAGTGCGTCGTGCGTCGCTGGCTCTCTCTCTCTCTCTCTCTCTCCCGAGCTCCCTCAACGAGGCACTGACTCCTGTTGCCTGTCGGCGGGTCCTGTCGCAGGTCACGATGTGGTGGGAGGAGGAGAAGACGTGCGTCCCCTCTCGCTCTCGTACCCTCCCTCGCGCGCCTCCTCCCCTCGCCCCAGCCTCGCGCGCCCGCCCGTCCCTCCCTCCCTAGCGCTAACTCTCGCACCCCGTTCCCTCGCACCCGTCGTACGCAGCTGGCGCGACCTGCACCCGGACTGGAAGTCGATCCGGCGGCAGCTCAAGGAGGAAGACGAGGACCGGCGACGCGAGGCCGAGGAGGAGGCGGCGCTCAACGGCGACGAGCCGCCAGCCACATCTGACGAGGACGACGGCGGCAAGACGGCGCGGCGGCGAGCGAGGGGCGGACCGAGGGTCGAGATTGGCGTCGAGCGCGAGGGAGGCCCGAGCGTCGACAAGGTCGAGCGGCCGATGGACGAGTTGGCTTTCTAGACAGTCTCTCGCATAGACGTAGCACCTCGTCGTTGTACTCTCACACTGTTGCTTGTCCTCTCGAGCAGGCGCGACTCGTCGAGGAGAGGCTCGAGCTCTTCGACTCGCGAGGCGGCGCACAGCGACGACGAGGCACGAAACAGACTTTTTGCAGACGCCGGCAGCGACGTCGCTCGAATACGAGACCCAGAGAGAAGGAGAAAGAGGCGCAGGAAGGGGTATGTTCAGGGTTTGGAGGAGGGAGGGAGGGGAGGAGAACGCCTCCTGGGCGAAGCGCGAGCCGCTCAGCGAAGCTTGGAGAAGCCGACGCGGTTGTTGCCGAGGTCGAACGTCGTGTAGACGTTGCGCAGGAACGCGTCACCGACGATCCAGCCATCGATGCCGAGGTCCTGGCCGACGATGCTGCCGACGCAGCGGGTCGAGCCGGACGACACGCGGCCGAGGCTGAGCGACGACGCCGACATGGGCCACGCCACCGTCGAGCCGCCGAACCGGAACGAGACGGTCGTCGTCTGCGAGCACGGGAACGTGTAGTACCCGTTGCCGTACGACGCAGAGTTCGGGACCGCGGCCCAGAACGAGGCAGCGTCGCTGGTCGGGGCCTGTGCGCGAGAGAGGGACGGGGTGTCAGTACGCGCGCTCGATGCAGTTGACCAGGGACCACAAGGAAGAGAGAGAGAGGAAGAGAGAGAGAGAGAAGGGGACGCACGACGACGAGGGTCGTGCCCGTGTCGATGACGGACGAGATCGTGCCGACGCTCGTCACCTGCTTGCCGTTGACGAGGACCTGGCCGGCGACGGTCCAGTACGCCTGCTGGATGACGGGCGCGTACGTCGTCGAGCCCGAGACAAAGTTGGCCGTGTTCATGCCGCCGAGGAACAGCTCGGCGCCGCTCGACGAGAGCTTGAACGAGAACGACGGCGACGAGACCTTGCCCTGCGACACGAGCTGCACGCGAGGGAGAGTTGAACACAGTCAGTGAGGGCCCGGCCGGGGAGGAGGGGAACGAGAGGAGGAGAGGGAGCGCACCGTCTGGAACACGGGAGCGCTGTTGAGCGACGAGAGGGACTGGTACGCCATGCCCATGAGGCCGTCCTCGGGGTCGTCGGCCCAGCTGTCCGAGAGCGTCGTCGCGGCGCCCATCTTCTGGTTCGTCGCCGTCAGGCCGCCGATCGTGACCGTGTCGGTGTAGACGTCGCCCGAGGTCGTCGAGCCGTCGCCGTAGCTGATCATCAACTTCTGCCCGGAAACAAACTTGGACGTCGACGACGACGACGCCGAGTACTTCTGGTGCGGCGCGCAGGGCGCCGAGGTGCACGAGGCCGACGGGACCCAAAGGTCGCTCGAGCCCGTGTCGAAGTCGATGAGGAAGCTCTTGGCCGGCGTGCCGATCGTCAGGCTACCAGCCCAGACTGCGTGAGCGACGAGGAGGTCGTCAGGGCGAGGCGAAAAGGGAAAGAGGAAGAGAGAAAGAGCCGGACGCACGGGTCTCCTGGTAGTCGGTGAGCGGGACCGAGCCGGTCGACGCGCGCTTCTCGAGCTTGACCTCGTCGCCGTCGCGCTTGCGCAGGTCGGGCTCGGCGGCGCTCGAGTCGGACGCCGAGAAGCGCTGCGGCGCCTTCTGGACAGGCTTGCGGCCCATCTTGTCCTCGTAGATCTTGGCCGTCGTCTCGTACTTGCCCTTGACGCGGGCGACGTGCGAGTCGAAGGCGGCCCAGTTGACGACGCCGTCGCGCTTGACGAGCTGGAGGTTCTCGTTGTCGGCGCCGCGCTTCTGGAGCGGGATCGCGAGCGTGCCGTCGACGGGCGCGGCGGTGGCCGAAGGGAGGAGCGCCACCGAGGCGACGGCGGCGGCGGCGGCAAAGGACCCGGTCTTCATGATGTCGAGGAGGACGAGGAGGAGGAAGGTGTGCGAAAGGGAGAGTGAAGGAAGGAAGAGAGGAGGACGGGGACGACGAGCGGCGCATTGACGAGGTCGACGCGAGCTCGTATCAGCCGACGGCGCGCCCGCACGGTGACAGCGCCGACGGTTGGCGCTACTCGCTGAGAGCGGTGCGGTACAGGCGAGCTAGCGAGTCGGGCTCGAAGGCATGCGCGACGCCCGATCGCGTGCGAGGACGACGAGGTGGGGGTGCGCGACGAGCGGCAGAGCTGGGGCGCCCGCCGCCCGCCGAACGCGAGAGCTGATGCGAGGGCAGGCGATCTGCAGGAGCGACGCGCTAAGCTGGGTCAGGACGGCACGCGAGGAGGAGGAAGAGCGTGAGACTCGGGCAACGGACCGAATTTAGACCTCGACCGACTAGCCGGTTCCCCACTCGTCCTCGCCGCTTCCCTCTGCGGCACCGTCCTCCTCCTTAGCGCACGCATCGCTGCTGCCGTCCCGCACGGTCGAACCCGTGGTCCGCCGCCGAACGTGCGCCTGGCGCACCGCCCGCATGGCTCGCGCGGCGACCCCGCCGCCTCGGTTCCGCGCCCGCCTGCGTCCTCCCTCGCGCCGTCCGATAGTCCTCCTGTGGCCGCGTGACCGTCCTCCACTCCCCACCGCTCGCACCTGCGCTAGCCTCGAGCAGCGACAGCGCGCGGTACCCGCCGTCCTCGCGCCGCCGACGCACGAGCCTCGGCCTTCTCAAGTGAGGCGAGCTCGACGCGCTCTCGCGCAGCGCCCGCATGGTCGCGCCGAGCGCTTCTCGGCGACCTGCGCTCGAGCTCGAACGACGAGCGGGGCAGGGCGGCGACGCGCTCGCGCACCGACGGCGGCGCTGGTGCCGCCTGGCCGTCGACGAGCGCCGGCTCGACGCGAAGGAGCGCCCTCGCTGCGCCTCGTCGCCGCCGACCGAGCGGGATCGCCTGCTCGAGGTCGTTGCTCGACGAGCGGCGCGAGCCGCCGCACGTGTGCCCGCAGAAGGTCCACAGGAGCGACTGCGTCTTTTTGTACGTGCGGCGGATGAGGACCAGGACGCAGATGAGGGTGAGGGCCTGGCACAGGAAGACGAAGCCGGCGCCGCCGTACATGAACTGCGAGAGGGTGTGTGTCAGTGAGCGGCGCGAGGGGCTCGAGGACGGAGCGACGAGGGCTCACGTAGTCGAGCTTGCGGAAGAACGCGTCGCAGTCACCGCCGAACGGCGCCGACACGATGCCGCACGCCTTCTTGAGCCCATCTAGTGCGCCGAGAATGCTCTGGAGGGAGCTCTGGGTCAGTCTCGTGGGGGCCGAGGACGGCGAGAGAGGAGCGGAACGAGAGCGGCGCACCTGAAGAACGTCCCACAGCTTCTTGGCGTTGAGCCCGAGCGTGACGAGCAGATATATCGCGTATCTGTGAGAGAGCGCGCTGTCAGTACCGGGTCGAGAGAGGCACGACAGGCGGTCGAGTGCTGAAACTGCCGACGAGGAGGGACGGCACTCACGCCCACAGCAAGATCTGGATCTGGAGGATGGCGCCGACCAGTCCTGCGACACCAACGGCGACGTAGAGCATGCAGCCGTAGAAGAGGACCTTGACGTCGGCGATCCAGGTGCCGAGCGGATCTTTGAGGACCTGTCGCAGACGAGAAAGGTCAGTGCGACTCGACGATTCGGACGACGAAAGGAGTGGGGGCGCACCTGATAGACGAGGAAGTTCTCGAACAGGTCCTTGAGCGGCGGAAAGACGAGCTCGCGCAGAACGTAGGCGGCCGCGAAGTAGGTCTGGGAGGGGAGGAACGGGGCGACCGGCTCGAGACGCAGTCAGTGTCGGGTCCAAGCCGCGCACACAAGGAAAGGTGGACGCACACCTGCGAGAAGGAGCGACTCGAGTACAACCCAGCCCTTGATCGTGCAGATCCAGCCACACGCGAGCTGGCACGGGAGGCAAGGGGTCGGGATGAACTGCAGGCGGGCGAGCCGTCAGTACTGCGTCCTTTGTGCGGGAGGAGCCTTGCCTCGTATCAAGTTAGGGCAGGGTCGTCGAGCTGAACGGTTGGCGGGACAGAGGAACGGTCAAGGGCAGGTGGGGCGACGAGGAGGGGCGAGGCCGACGAGCTCGAGAGGGAGAGAGATGTGGACGCACCACCATAGCTTGAACGCTGCTCGTCCACGTCGTCCAACCTTGTCGACACAGGCGTCGAGAGCATCGAGCAGGCAGAGGAAGCGAGCGGCGAACGGGCAGCAGCGGACGCTCCGCGGACAAGCAGGACCGTCGCCGGCGGACAGGGGCACATCGCTCGGTCGGCCTCCGCGTCGCGTTGTGCAGACTGTCGAGCGCGATCGAGCACTGCTCTCAGGCTGGTCGCGCCGTGCGCCGAGGAGCTGAGGAGCGGACGCCGAGGCGACAGCTGCGGCGAGGGAGCAGGTCGAGTCGCACGGATGCGCTCCGCACTGCAATGCAGCTGTGCACTGTCTGACCGTGCTTCTGCGCGAGCGAACGAGAGCGGGCGAGGAGCAAGCGGTGAGGCAAGGGAGCTCGTCCGGCTCAGCCTCATCAGCTCGGGCTACACAGCTCTGCATCGCTGCTGAGATGGCCCAGAAGCTCGACATGGCACCTCTGACTAGGGCCAACGACCAGCCGGCCGCATCCACCTCGACCTCACCTCCGCCATCCTCATCATCAGCTCCAGCGTTCGACTCGACCTCGACCCCGACCAGCGCGCCAAAGAAGGCGCGCAAGCCGCGCATCGTCCTCGAGGGCACCACCGACGAGATCCTCGCCCGCAACAACAAGGCCGCAGAGCCGCGCTTTGTCGACAAGCTCTTCTCGACCGCCGGCAAGCAGTGGAACCAGTTCTACAAGCACCACGCCGCCACCCCGTTCTTCAAGGACCGCCACTGGACATTGCGCGAGTGGCCACAGCTCGCAGCGCTCGGCAACGCGGCGGCGGGCCATGACGCCGACGAGCTGGGCGACTCGACGAGCGGCAGTCGGGCCAAGGGCAAGGGCAAGGCGGTGCTGGAGGTCGGCTGCGGGACCGGTGCCTTCATCTATCCGTGCGTCCACCGCTCTCTGTCATGGGGCCCAACGCGCACTGACACTCTGCGCCGTCCGCAGCCTCCTCGAGCAGTACCCGTCGGCTCGCTTTGTCGCCTTCGACTTTGCCAAAAAGTGAGCCCTCGTCCTCCTCTCTCGCCGAAACGCAGCATAGCGGACTGACTATCGCTCTTCGTCGACCACAGAGCTGTCGAGCTCACCCTGGTACGCCCGCAAACTCTCCTCGAGGCGTACCTCGGCAGCGCACCTGACTCTCTCTTCCCCTCGCGCAACAGAGCAACGCCAACCACGATCCAGTGCACTGCCACATCTTCCAGCACGATCTTACTGCGCCTCGAGCCGTCCTCGATGGCAAGCTTGCCCAGCCGCCGCCAGAATTCGGCGAGCCCGTCCTCGAGTTCGACTTTGTCTCGGCCGTCTTTGTCCTGTCGGCGCTCGACCCGGCCAAGCAGGCCAAGGCGATGCAGACGCTCGTGTCGGTGCGTCTCTCTCCCTCTCTCACCTAGTGGGCCGACTCATCCTTGAGCCACCTCGCTCACCCTGCCTGCTCGCGCCCGCAGCTCCTCGCGCCCGGCGGCTCCCTCCTCTTCCGCGACTACGCCCTGCACGACGCGGCCCAGCTGCGGTTCCACTCGCTCCCCTCGGCGTCGTACGCCGCCAACCCGTCCCTCCTGTCCGACTCGCTCCCGCTCTACCGCCGCGGCGACAACACGCTCACGTACTTCTTCACGGCCGACGACGTGCGCACGCTCGTCGACGGGGCCGTCGAGGCCGTCAATGCCGAGCGGAGGAGCGAGGGCAGGAATGTGGTTGTGCTCGAGGGAGGCGTCGAGGTGGTCGAGCGCGAGATGCAGAACCGGGCCGAGCAGTGGGGGTGCACGCGCAGGTTCGTGCACGGCAGCTGGAGGAGGGTCCGGTAGCGCAGCTGCAACAGCGTCTCGCCACGATGTTGCGCTCTCTACTCGCGAGCGAGGATGCGAGCTTCGAGGACAGAAGAAGAGCTTGAGCGAGACAAAACACTCTGGGAGAACGACACAGCGGGTGCGGGCGAACGAGTTGCAGACCATGTACAGGCGAGAGAGGGAGAGAAAGAGGAGAGGTCGACGCTCCAACAGAAGCTGCGTGGGAGAGCCTGTCTCCCGAAAAGCGCCGCTCGGACCCCTCAGCCCGACGACCTCGGCCTCGCGCCGCCGCCGCCGCCGACCTGGGCCCACCCCTCGGTCGAGCCGGCGCTCCCGTCGCTCGCCGCCGTCGCCGGCGCCGGCGTCAGCGACAGGTCGGCCCAGTCGACCGACTGGAACGCGCTCCGCACGTCGGCCGGCGTCGTGCTGCCCGACAGGTCGTCGGCCGCGCCGTTGGCGAACCCTTCCTGCCCGACCATCATCGGCCCAGCCTGCGGCATCGACGACGACGACGACGACGACATGTGCGTCGGCGGGTGCTGGCTGAACGAGAAGGGGTGCGGCGTCGACGAGGACGACGAGGTCGAGGGCAAGTGGGTCGGGCCGCCATGCTGCAGCGCCGACACGGGTCCGCCGACGTTGAAGGGCGTGTTCGCCGGCGAGTACGGGTAGCGCACGTTGTCGTTGGCGGCGGCAGGCGAGGTGAGGGAAGGGTCGTGCAACGAGGCGTGCGGCATCGAGAGGTTCGAGGGAGGAGGGGCAGGAGGGGCGAACACGGGCGCAGCTGTGGGCGGGCGAGGGATCAGTCACGCTCGAGGAAAGGGGAGGACCATCCTTGGGCGCACCTTGGACCGGGAACATCGCCGGCGACGCCTTGTGCATGCACTTTTGCCGCGCCGAGACGAGGGCTTGAAGCGTGAGGGCGAGTCGAGGCGAGTAGAAGAGGCTCAACTCGAGCGCCATGCGGAACCTGGTGGACGAGAGCTTCAGTGCTCGAGGAAACAGAGAGCGAGAGAGGAGAACGAGCAGGACGCACCACTCGACCTCCTCCTCGCTGACCTCGAACTCGTCCGAGAGGGGCCCGCCAGGTTGGCCGATGCGCAGGGCGACGAGCTCGGTCCAGTGCAGGAGCGGCTCGAGCTGCATGAGGAGGTGGAAGACGTTGTGCTTGTTCTCGGAGCTGCAGTAGAGCTGTTCGTCGGCGAGGAGGGAAAAGAGGGTCAGTGCGTCGACTCGAGCGAAAAGGGGGGATTTGAGGCGAGCGGACCTGGCAGTAGAAGCTGTAGGCGACGACGAGTCAGTGCGTGTGCGACGGGAGCAAAGGAGGAAGCACGGCGACGCACGCAAAGAGCTTGAGGCACTTGAACACGCGCATCTGCGACTCGCCTCGCGCCCGCGCAAGCTCACGGTCGCCCTCGCGCTCAGGACCGTACTTGCCCGAGTCGCGGTCGCGCATCAAGTAGGCGTGGATGTAGCCGACAAGGTGCACGAGGACGTCGTCGGCGCGCACGACGAGGAGGATGGCGTGGTCGACGGCTCGAGGGTCGCCGTCCGAGCCGACGAGCGGGTCCGTGATGGCGACGAGCTGCTGCTGGAGGCGCTGTATCGCGTTGTGGATCTGGTCGACGAGGTTCCACAGGTTGCGGACGAAGCTCAGGACCGAGTTCGAGCTCGAGCGACGGGCAGCTGCAGGACGACGGCGAACCAGGTCAGGTCGGGCCTCGTCTCGCTCGGGCCTCGAGAGCAAGAGGGGACGCACGGCTCGTGACTTGCGCAAAGACCCTATAGCACGCGTAGACGTGGAACAGGATCGTCTCGACGAGCGACTCGATGTCGGCGAACGACAGGGTCGACCGCAACTTGGCGTCGACGAGCTCGGGCAGGTGCGCGTTGACGAGATCCGGGATCGTGAGGCCCGACGTGGCCCAGTAGTCCTGCAGCTCGAGCGGCGAGATGACGGTCGGGCGACCACCCTGCACGGCGAGTTGAGCGTCGACCATCTGAGGGAGCGAGGGGTCAGTGCGTGTACGCGACGATATGGGGGAAACAGGGGACGCACAAAGACGGCGAGACCGACGTTCTTGCCGAGCGAGGACGACGTGCCGTTGAGCATCTCGTTGTGCCGCACGTCGAGGAACAGGCCCGCCGCTTGCCGCACGAGCCACCTCGTCTCGTCCAGGTCGTTCTCCTCGTCTGCGTTGGCGGCGAACGAGTCAGTGACGCCGTCGCAAAGGAGAAACAGTCACAAGGAGAGAGAGAGAGAGACGCACAGATGCTGAGCACGGCGAGAGCCGCGACCGCCTCGGCCGCCTCGTACGACGGCGTCTTGAAAAGGCCAGCCGACCACGCCGTCTCGAGCGCGCGCTTCTCGAGGCTCTTGCACAGCGACTCGCGACGGTTGCCGACTTGCGAGAACAGCGCAGGGACGGGCGTGCCCTCGGGCGACGTGATCGAGGCGATGCCGTAGAAAGCCTGCGAGCGGCAACGACGATCAGGACGCGCTCTCGACGAGGAGGGCAGAGAGAAGGAGACGCACGCTATGCGGTGACGTACGAGCGCCGAGAGCGCACAAGGTGGCGACGTTGACCTGGTCGTGCGGTGCGAGGTCGTGCAGGTTGGCCTTCAAAAGCGGCACGTGCGACGAGATGGTGGCGAGCCCGGGCAGCTTCGAGTCGCACGCGCGAGTCGCAGCTGGACGACAGAGAGAATCAGAGGTACGTTCTCGACTCGAGGGAGCGGCAGGGAGAGAAACAGGGGGACGCACAGTCGAGCAGGTGGCAGGTGACGGCGTGGGCGAGCCCGGTCCCGGCGAGCCGAAAGTCGACGTTGCCGAACGTCGGGGTGATGCCGCCGCTGTGGCCCTCCTCGGCGAGAAAGGCCGAGAGGACGGACGAGGTGCCGGCCGGGAGGAGGTCCGTGAGGGCGCGCGAGATGTCGGCCGCGAGCGACGGGCGGACGACGCTCGCGTTCGAGCTGGACGACGTCGGGGCGAGTACGGGACGTGGTGCGGGTGCTGACGTCGAGGTAGTTGCTGCTGAGCGAAGCTGCGACTGGAGCGTGGCTGCGCGACGGGCGACGGGGCGAGGTGAGCAACCTGAAAACGACGACGACGGAAGGGCGCGACAGGGGACGCACTGATTTTGCCCTCGAGATCGGCGATGCGCTGCTGGTCCGAGCCTTCGACGGTGTCCTCCCTGCGTAAAGACAATTGAGCGACTGGGCTCCAGGAACACGGCGGACAAGGACGCACACGTAGACGCCCTCGCCGAACGAGCACGTGTCGCGCCGCTTCTTGCACCTCGCACAGGTCGGGAACTGCGAACGTGCTCGAGGAAGCGTCAGGCTTTGGGTCAAACGAAAGAGAGGGACGCAGGCCAGGACGACTGCGAGGCAGGGGACGCACCTCTCGACCGCAGCGCACTCGCCTTTCCCGGCACCTGTACGGACGAGAGGGTCAGTGACGGCTCGCCCAACTCGGCGAAGAGAGAGAGAGAGAGGTCGGGCGCACTTCTTGCACGAGCGATCCGCCTTCTGGACGATTTTCGGCGGCGGCAGGAGCGGCGAGACCGGGTCCTCGGGCAACATGTCGCTGTCGTCGGCGACCCAGGCGCCGGGCTGCGGGCCGCCGTGGTACGACGACGGAATGGTGCCCGAGAGCTGGTGCGGGTCGGTTGCCGAGGTACGGCGGCTGCTGACGGGCGAGGGGAGGAGCGACTCGTCCGTGCCGAAGTTCTGTCGAGGCGGGTGGTGCGGCGGCGGCGGTTGCGAGGGGTACTGGGCGAAGGACGACGTCGCTGACGGATACGAGGAGGGGACTGGGCTGGCGGCAAAGGCGTACGGGGTGTAGATGGTGTGAGGAGGGGGAGGAGGCCCGCCGGCTGATGAAGGACGAGCCGTGCGGTGGTGCGTGTCGCTCGGGTGCATGCTGGACGGCGTGCGTCGAGAGGCGAGAGCTGCCGTGCGACCCACTCGACCAGGCTCTAGAGGCGGCGCATGCCCTCGTGCAAAGAGCTCGAGACGGCGAGCGAGGCGAGCGAGGGAAGCGAGGCGACGCGAGGACGAGCGGGGAGCCAGCCGGCTCAGGGGGAACTCTGCTCTACCTCATCGCCTCTGTCCCGGCCGACTCGTCAAGTTGACCTTTGGTCGAGCGCGAGAGAGAGAGACCCGCAAGCGAAGCGAGAGATCCATCCTCTTGCACACAGCGGCGACCGACGAGCAGGACACTCGGTTGAGCGAGGTTCGCTCGACAGCGGGGAGCGCGCGAGACGGGCGAGGCGCAATCTAGACGCCCGCACACTCGGCGGTCGCCGAGGGTTTGACTTGCGCGACCGCGCAGAAGGTCAACCTGGCGAGCACCGGCGCAGCTCGAAGGAATCAGAGATTATCGGCGCGCCGCCGGGGCGGCGATCTGCGTGTCCAGTGAGCGAGAGGACGAGCGGAACAAGCTCGGGCGAGTGGTCGAGAGCCAATCACGTCGCGAGAGATCGATCGCGTCCGGGTCGATGCAGCTTGCCGTTGCTCGCGAGCCCTGCTTCTCGCGCGAACGCAATCTCTGCGCGAGGCCATTGAGGTCAGGGTCTGTGCTCGAGAGACCGGACGAGAGCTCCCGAGCCAGCTCGAGGCCGGTCGACGGCGCCCGAGCCGCGGCCCGAGCGGACGGAGGAAAGAGGGAGGGAGAGGACACGAAACGGACCTCGTTACAGACAGTCACACCCGCCGCTCTACTTTCGGTCCTCCACCATGACGATACTGTGGCGGGAGGGGAAAGAGCGAGAGCCATAGCTCGTCAGTGACGAGGTCCGGGAGAGGTGCGACCTGCGCTCGAGGCGGCTCGACCGTCGCCCTCGCCGACCAGGTAGGCGTACGTGTCGAGCGCAGCGGACGTCGAGAGCGACGGACAAGGCCGAAGAAGAGGGAGGAGGGACGAGAGGGGAGGGAGAGAGAGGACGCACTGGTACCCGTGCTGGCTCTTGATCACCTTGTAGATGGGCGCCGCGCACGTCGACACCGGGATGCTGAACGCGTTCTCCTGGAAGCACCCCATCATGCCGTTCCGCACCATCCACCTGCAGGTACGGCGAGGGTCAGTCCGTGCGGGGAGGAGAGTGCCGCGCTCGAGCGAGTGCCCGGCGAGGAGGAGGACGAGGAGGAGCTCACCCGAGGTTGCCGCCGGTGCGCGCTTTGTCCTCCGAGTACTTTTCGGCGACGACGTTGAAGCTGGTGCCCTTCTTGAGCTCCTCGAGCGCCTCGTTGGACTTGGACGCCTTCTCGCACAGGATGTGCCGCAACTGCGAGAATGTGATGGGGCGACGTTAGCGAGGGGATCTCGGTCGCAGGCTGTTCTGAATGCTTGCGCCAGTCGACTCGAAGCTCAGGACGAGGCATCGGGGCGAGCCTCGAGGCCAGCGAGGAGGCGGTGCGACGATCTTGGAGGTGCGGCGGCCGACACCGCGCAGGACGGCTCGCTGGCGGGTGCTTGGCGGTATGGTAGGGGAGGACTGACCTTGAGCTGGTTGGCGACCTTGAGCTTCGTGTCGTCCTCGGCAACGACGGCTCCTGCAAGGAGGGGGGACGAGAGTAGGGGGAGGACGAGGTCAGGACCACTGCGCGGGACCCGGTGAGCAGTGATGGAGGTCGAGCGCACCTTTGCCCTTGCCCTTGCCTCTTGGCATGTCGATGCGAGCGGTCGTGAGCGAGAGAGGCGACGACAGCTTCGCTCGCCGCGCTCCGCTCCCTGTCCACGTCGGTCCTCTGCACAAGCTGCAGGGTTGCACTGCTTGGTCGATCGAGGAGCACTTTCCTCGCCCCTGCGCCAGCTGGTCAGGCTGCTGCGGTGCTGCCGCGTCCTCGCGACCTCCCACAAATCCTCATCAGTTTTCGGCCGCACTCCTTCCCACGGACGCTCAGAGCGGCTGCTCGGGCCTCCGATCGCTCTCCAGTTCCAGTACGTGTGCGAGGGCTGTCGGCTGCCAGAGTGGCGCGCTGGAGGAAGTTGCTTCTCCTCCTCGCCCTGCTCGAATTCCGCACGCTCGTCGCCTGCTCGCTCTTTGCTCGGCGGGTACGTCCGCATCGAGAAATCCGGCGCCTGCTGCCGGTCCCTGCTCCCTCGCGATACGGCGGCCGCAAAAGCTTGGACAGTGCGCTCGCGCCGCTGTTTGTCCGGAGAAGCCGAGCATGCAGCCCGGCACGCACCCGTTCGTCCGACTCCTCCTCGCTTCTCGCTTCTCGCTCTTCGTCTTGCTCGCTAGCTCGACCCACCGCGCACCATGCTGGCGGCTCTGCGCGTGCTCGTGCCCGCACTCGCTTTCTCGTGCGTCGGCGTCGTCCTCGCGCAATCCTCGCCCTCGGCCGTCGCGTCGTCGTCGGCCTCGACCTCGACACCTACCTCGACCAGGACCAAGACCACCATCCAGGTGGGCACCTTTCTGCCCGAGCCACTGCGTCTGCAGCGAGCTGACGAGCACCCTCTCCCCCCCAGCTCCCGCCGTTGTTCACCTGCGAGTACGCGACTTGGACGTGCGTCTCGCTCCTTCTCCTCCTTTGCCTCGTCGAGTCGAGCCTGATATTCTCTCCGCGTCGCAGCTATACGGCACCCGCAGGGCCCAAGTACCTCGGGCTGTACCTGTCGGGCACGAGCGACTTCATCGAGACCTACGCGTGCGTCTCCTTCTCCTCCACCCCCGTCCCGATCTACCTGCCCATCTCTGACCCTCGTCACGGCAGGCTCCCGTCGGTATACGACGAGCGCACGAACGGCACGTTCTCGTGGCGCGTCGACCTCCCTGCAGGTGCGGGCGTCGCCGCCATGTTCTACGTCCTGCAGAGCGGCGCCGCCGGGACCGACGGCGACCAGGCGTCGACTCCCGACGCCGTCATCAACGCGGGCAGCTCGACCGACTGCCTCGGCGCCAACGACCCGGGCTTCCAGGCGGGCATCCTCAGCCTCGCGTCGTCGCTCGACCCGAGCTTCTCGTACACGGGCGGCAGCTCGAGCGCGACGCCGGGCTCGTCGAGCGGCGGCGGCGGCTCAAGTGGCGGTGGCGGCACGCCCATCGGCGCCATCGTCGGCGGCGTCGTCGGCGGCGTCGTCGGTATCGCGCTCGTCGGCGCGCTCCTCATCTACCTGCGCCACAAGCACAACCAGGCCGCCCTCGCCCAGAGCGACGGCCTCTCGGTCTACTCGGGCACGACCGAGAAGCGCGAGCGCGCGTCGTTGCACCACTCGCACTTTGGCGGCGCGCCGGGCTCGAGCGCCGGCATCGCTCCTCCGCCGCAGGGCACCTACTACGCGACCGACGCGCAGGGCAACGTGCACCTCGTCATGGGCTATCCCGACGGTCACGAGCAGCCGTTCGTCCCGGCGGCGACCGACCCGACCGTCCTCGAGACGCCGGCGACGCCTGCGAGGCAAAGAGCGCCACCTGGCACTCTGCCCGAGCCCGTGCGTCCTGCTTTCCCTCTCTCTCTCTTCTTTGTCGACACGAGGGCCTGATTCGGGCTTTCACACCTCGCAGATGGACGAGCCCTCTCCCGCGTTGCGCTCGTCGCCGAGTGTCGAAGCCGGTCCCGCGAGCGCAGTCGGCGCCCCGACCACCCCGGCTCGCTTGCGTGCGCCGCCCTCGACCGAGCCATTCACGCCCGTGTCGGAGCGAGACGGCTACTTGGCCCACCACGGCCTCGACGACCCCTCGTCCTTCTCGCCGCTCAGGAGCCAGCGTTGAAGCTCCTCGGTCGAGCGTGCACGGTCCCTCTCTTATCGCTCTCCCTCTCCCTTCTTTCCTCTCGTAGAGCGTCGCAGTGGAATGCCAGCGGTTGCAGGATTAGGCAAGGATCGAGTACATGCGAGAATAGAGAGGTAGGGAAAGCGACAAGAGGGAAAGAGAGGAAGGAGGAGGAGGGCGGGATGGTACAAGGAAAGGACGAGAGCTATGTGCAAGATGAGAAACCCTTCTTCTACCTCCTATGCGTCCTTCTTGACGGCCTTGACCGGCTTACCGAGGAAGCCGAGCATGCGGGCAGTCAGGCCCGCGCCGCCATCGTCCTCCTCCCCTCCTGCGCCCTCGACCCCTCCTTCGGGCCCCGAGCGGGTACTGCGCGCCTTCGACGACGCTCGCGACGCGTCGCCGCCGTCCTCCCACGACGCCGAGACCGTCGTGTCGGCGGCCGAGCCGCGCGACATGACGTCCCAGCCCTCGTCGCTCGACGTCGCGCGCGATTCGTCACGCTGCGACGGCGACGCCGGGTCCTGCGCCGAGCGCGACGGGTCCTGGACGCCCTGCACCTTCTCGGTCGGCGGTGCACTGATTGCGGGCCGGCCCGGGTTGGCCTCGGTCGCGTCGCGCTCCTTGAGGCGCGCCTTCTCGTCGTCCACCTTCTCGTCCTTCTCGTCCTTCTCGTCCGACGAGGAAGACGACGAGCCGCTGTCCGAGTCGTCGTCGCTGCTGTCGTCGTCGACCTCGACCTCGGCGATCTCACCCTCGACGAGAGCGGTCGACCGCGGCGGGACGAGGCTGCGGGCGTACTCGAGGTCGCGGTAGATGCACTCGATGGCGGTGGCGACGCCGTCCTCCTGCACACTCACAGAGAGATTGCGTCAGGGAGAGCTCAAGGGAGAGGAAGAGAGAGAGAGAGGGAGAGAGAGAGGGAGAGCGGGCGCACCTTGCGGATCTCCTCGCCGGCGAGCCTGGCACGCTCGATCTGCTTGTCGTCCGAGACGGCCGTCTTGAGGGCCTCGGTGAGGTTCTCGACGGTAAAGTTGCGGATGTGCGAGCCGATACCGAGGGTGGAGACGCGGTCGGCGTAGAAGTGCTGGTCGCCGAAGAAGGGCTTGATGATGGTCGGCAGGCCGGCTGTGCGACGAGGGAGGGCGTGGTCGTCAGGACCAACGCGCGATGACGTGCTCGAGGATGAAGGAGACGAGAGGAAGGAGGGGACGCACCTCGCAGACTCGCGCCCGTCGTACCTGCGCCGCCGTGATGGACTGCCGCCGAGATGCGCGGGAAGAGCCAGTCGTGCGGGATCGACTTGACACTGAAGATGAAGGGCTTGTCCATGAGCTCCTGGTGGCGCTTCTCGTTCTGCTCGCGCTTCTCCTCCTTCTCCTCGTCGGGCTCGCCGTCGTCGTCGTCGCCCTTTTGCCGATCCGACCAGCCCTTGGCGACGATGGCGTACACGCCCGCCTTCTCGGCCGCCTCGACGACGACACGCGTCATCTCGAGCGGGTCGGGGATGATGATCGAGCCGAAACCGATAAAGACGACCTTCTTGTCGTTGTCCTTGGCCTCGTCGAGCCACTTGGTGAGCTCCTCGGGCGGCTCCCACTTGCTCTGGTCGCTGTCGTCCGGGTTGTCGAGCCACCAGTAGCCCGTGACGTGGATGTTCTCGCGCCAGTCGAGCGGCGGCGGGATGACGACGGGCGAAAAGTTGTACAGGAACGGGATCTTGTGCTGCTGCATCGCCTCGAGGCTCGTCGGCTTGAGCTTGAGCGTGTCGCGGCGCCACCGGTTGACCTGGCCCGACGTGGCGCGCCAGAACACCTGGTCGAACATCGTGTAGGTCTGCCCGAGGAAGAGGAAGTCAGAGGGAGCGATCGGCGACGACGAGAGAGAGAGAGCGAGGGACGCACCATGTAGTTGTAGCCGCCGCCCATGTGCACCTCGGGCACTGCGAACGCGTGCGGGTAGGCCCGAGTCCTCGACCAAGGCATCGTGAACGCGCTGCAGGGCGAGGAAGAGTCAATCTCGAGGCTCGAGCGGCACGCGACGACGACGACGACGAAGGGGGAGGACGCACCGGTAGTACGGGATACGGAGCGCCTCGGCGACGTGGAAGCCGGCAATGGCGCTCGGGCTCTCGATGAGGAGGTCCGTGTCCTGGCAGGCCTTCCAGGCGCTCGCGAGCAGGTCGTCGAGCCACCCTCGGAAGCGGCCGACCGCCTCCTTCATGAACGAGATCGTGAAGAAGTCGTGCGAGATCATGACTGCGGGCGAGGCAAAGAGCGTCAGGGTGAGTACGCGAGGCAGAGAGGGAGAGAGAGAGGGCGAAACAAGAGACGCACGCTGCATGAGCTCGGCAGGGTCGCCGCCGACGGCCGAGAACTCGATGCCGTGACCCTCGACCCACTTGCGGTACTCGCCGTGGCTCGCAATCTTGCACTTGTGGCCCTGCGCCATGAGGCCCTTGCAGAGCGCGATGTAGGGCTGGACGTCGCCGCGCGAGCCGATGGTGAGGCACGTCACGCGCAGCGGCTCGTCGGGCTTGAACGTGATGAAGTCGCTCGTCGTCGACGAGAACATGATGGGCGGCTGGCCCTGGACCGCCTCGGACCGAGGGTGCGGCAGGTCGAGCGGCGACTGGCCGGCCGAGCGCGCCTCGGACAGGTCGAGCAGGTCGCGCAGCTGCTGGTGCTCCTCCGACTCGTCGTCCTTCTTGTCGTCGCCCGACTGGTCGCGCTTCTGCTTCTTGACGAGCTCGCGCTGCTCGTCGAGATTGGCGAGGCACGCGTCGCGGCGGTCCGAGTTGTTGAGCTCGAAGAAGACCTCCTCGTGGCCCTTGATGATGACCATGAGGCCCGAGTAGCCGATGCGGTACGAGCGATGCTTCGAGGCGCCGATGATGTCGCTGAGCGGGAGAATCATCTGCGAGAGGGGAAGAGGGGAGGGCAGAGGCGGGTCAGGGCGTGGACGTGCGACGAGAGGAGGGGCGAGCCAGGCGTACCTTGGTCTTGGCGGTGAGGAGGCCGGCCGACCGGAAGCAGAAGTGCGCGCTCGAGATGTAGACGTGGCCGAAGATCGGCAGGCCTCGGAACAGGTACGCCGGGAACCCTGCAAGGCGCGCAAAGACAAGTGTCAGTCGACCGTGTACAAGAGAGAGACAGAGAGAGAGAGAGAGTGAAACGGGACGACGCACGGTCGAGCAAGATCTCCTTTTCCGAAAGGCCGAACGTGCGGCGGAACTCGTCGACCTCGGTCGCCGTCGCCTTGCCGTCGTCGTCGCCCTCCTGCAGGTCCGCCTCGGCCGGCTCCTCGACGACTGCCCCACCGAGGAGCTTGCCGCCCTTGCCGCTCGACGCGCCCTTGCGACGAGTGCGCCCAGGGACGGACGAGTGCGTCACGACCTCGAGGATGCGCCGGCCGCCCTGCGAGACGCTGCTCGCGGCGCTCGCCGGGGCGCTGAGCACCTTGCTGAGGGTGCTGGTGCGCCGAGGAGGCTGATCGTGGATCGTGGTCGTCGAGGCGCGAGGTGCGCCGGGCGCAGGGTTGGGCGGGTACGTGTGCTGAGACGACGGCGCCGACGGCGACGACACGCGCTCCTGCTCGGCAGCGACGACGGCCTCGGGGGCAGGAAGAGGTGCCGAGGGCGCAGGTGCGAGGCTCGGGACGGTGCCGTCGTTCTCCATCGGGGCCGAGACGCCGACAGGTGGCGGCAGGGGAGCCGAGCCGGCGGCGGCGGCCATGGGCGACACGCCCTCAAGCGGCACGTCGCCGCCGCCCTCGCGCTGAGCGTCGTCGCCGGCCTGAGGCGGGCGCAGCGTCGCGACCGAGCCGCCGGTCGGCGTCGGTGCCGTCTCCCTCGCGACCTCGGTCGAGACGCGCAGCTTGGGCGGCCCGGCCGGCGTCGGCGGCGTCGGCGCAGGCTTGGCCTGCTCGCCCTTGCGGCTCGACCTCGAGCTCGAGCGGCCGAGCGGCGACAGGACGGACGACACGCGCTGCGAGATCGAGCGCGAGCGGTGCTCGTTCTGCTGCCCACGCTGCTCGCCGTGCTGCTCGTCGTGCTCGCCGTCGGCGGCGCGCATCTGGTCCGTGTCGCCGAGGTCCGTGTCGCCGTGCACGTGCTTGGTCGTGTCCTCGACCTCGGGCGCGAGACGGGCGGGAGCGACGGCGGGCGGGGCCGAGGCGCTGCCGCCGTGCGGGTGGTGCTGGCGGAACGCCTCGAGGACGGTCGAGATCTTGTCGAGCGCGCCGTCGAGGTCCTTGAAGTACGACAGCCAGTACTCGTCGATCGAGTAGCCCTCGTCGGCGTCGTACACGCGGACCCGGATCGTCTCGGCAAACTCGAGGCTCGAGCTCTTCTCGACGTCGACGATCGTCTCGAGCGGGATAGCGATCTTGACGCTCTCGCCCTCGTTCTGGCACCGGAACACGCCTTTCTTGAGCGTCTTGACCCACTCGTCGCGCGACGCCTCGCTGTCGGCGCTGAAGTGCCACTTCTTGTCGGCGGTCGCGACCTTGAAGTGGTGCTTGTGGAACTGCGACGGCTCCACCGAGATGGCGTAGTGCAGGTCGATGTGGCCGTCGGGGAAGTACGGGTCCTGCAGGATGGGCGGGTACGAGGTTCGTCAGGACACGCCGCCCGGCTCGGCGAGGCGAGAAGGACCCAAAGGAAAAGAGGGGGCTCACGGTCGACGACGGGAACCACGAAAAGACCGAGTCCTTGAGGACGAACCAGTGCTTGCCGTACCGCCTCGTGCGGCTGCTGCGGACCGAGAGCGAGCCCGACCGGACCGTCGTGCCCTGCGAGGACGGCTCGTCGTCAGGTCGAGGACGGGGGAGACGAGATCGAGAGGTCGAGAGATAGGACGTACCTCCTTCTGGGCGAGGTAGGCGTAGAAGCAAAGGTGGCCGGCCGTGACGTAGAGGAAGCCCTGGAGCAGGATGGCGCGGAACAGCCAGCACGGGTACTCTGCGGGCGCGCGACGGCCAGCGTCAATAGAGTCGACAGAGAGTGGAGGAGGGAGAGAGACGAGGACGCACCGGCGACGACCTCCTCAGGCTCGTCCAGGCCGAACACGTCCATGAGCTTGTCGGCGAGCTTCTCCCTCCTTGCGAGCCGCTTCTCGCGCTCGCGCCGCCGCTTCTCCTCGCGCGACGCCTCGTCGTCTGCGCTCTGCTCGCCCTCGTCCTCGTCCCCTCCGTCATGCTCCTCGACATCGTCGTCCTCGGCCTTGGCCGAGCCGCCCGGCGACTGCGCGTTGCGCACGTCCTCGAGCGTCTTGCGGCGCCGCTCGATCGGCCGGTGGATGGCAAAGATCGAGCTCTGGCTCAGGTCGCTCTCGCCGCGTGCGCCGCGCTGCCGACGAGGCTGCGACGCCGAGGCCGCCGACGACGAGTGCTCCTCGCGGCGGTGGACGCCCGAGTCGCACCGCAGGAGCGACGGGTTGGCGGCGGCGCGCTCGGGAGCCGACGTAAAGTCGGCCAGGTCGGGGCCCTGCTGCGACGCCGAGGGCGACGCCGACGCCGACTTGTCCGGGTCGGCAAAGTCGGCGGCCGCGAGCTGCGACGGCGAGGGCGGCTCGGCGCCGGCGTCGGCGGTGGCGGTACCGTGAGCGAGGGCCGAGTCGTCGGCCGAGCGCGACTGGTGCTTGGCCTTGCGGCTGCGCTTCTTGTCGCGCTTGCGCTGCTTCTTCGAGTGCTTGGCCCGGCGCTCCTCCTCCTCGTCTTCTTGCGCGAGGGCGTGGATCATGCTGCAGGAGGCGGGAGGTGTCAGTACGAGCTCGGCGAGACTAGACAAAGTCGAGAGAGAGCAAGAGGGACGGACCGCATGTAGCCCTGCCCCATGCCCGAGTGGTAGCTCTTGCTCGACGAGTCGCCCTGCGCCCTCGCCTTCTTGTGGCGCTCCTTCTGCATGCGGTTGGCCTCGTCCTCGTCGAGCGAGCGCACGGCGCGGCCGTAGCCTGCGCCGCCGATGCCGGCGCCCGCGTCGGCCTCGGTGTCACTCACCTCCTGGCGCACCGAGCGAGAGCCGGCGCCGAGGCCGATGTCGCTCTCGAACGACGAGGTGGACCCGCCCGAGCTCGTGCTCGACGAGCTGTCGCTCGACAGGGTGCGCGACACGGCGGGCGGGGACGAGCCGGCGGGCGCGGGCGCGGGTGACGGCGAGCGCGAGGGGTCGCTCTCCTGGAGCGGGTCGCGCAGGCCCATCTGGGCCATGCCGCCGAAGCGCTTGTCGCCCTCGCCCCAGCCGGCAAAGCCCTTGCCCTTGGTCTGCGGGACATCGCCGTCGCCGTGGTGCGGGTGGTCGGGGTGGGGCGGCGGGAAGGCCGAGGGCTGCGCTTCTTCGAGGCCGGTGGTGGCGGGCTGAGGCTGCGAGCCGGTCGGGGTGGCCGGCGAGCCCAGGGTGCTGCTCATCGTGGCTGGCGGCAGGCGAAGAGCGAGGCGGGCTCGATGGGCGCGAGTGACGTGAGGCGCGGGACGAGAGGGCGAGGTCGGTCGAGGGCGCGGGCGCGGCGGGAGGTGGGCGGTGGTGGTGGTGGTGGTGCGTGGATAGTGCTTGTGGCTAGCTGGCGGGGAGTGCACACAGTCAGCACGGGTGCGGTGAGAGGAGCGAGCTGCCCCGTCCGACGTCGTCGTTTCGGTTTCGACCGAGCCTCCCTCGCCAGGCGAGAGAGCCAACTCCTGCGAGGGAACGCGCTCAAGCTCACCACAGAGATCTCGGTAGCGAGCTCAGGACAGAGCAGGGCAGAGCGACCGTGCTCTCAGCTGCTTCGGCTCGTTCCCTCGTCGCTCGCTCGCTTGCCGTCGCTCACGTCCATCGTCCACTGCCCCGGCTCGGCCTCGCTTCCACCTCGGCTTTGCGTCCGACGACACGCACGCGATGCGGATCTCCTAGGCCCCGCGCCCTCCGCATCTGCCTCCGTTTCGGCGCCCGCTCGCTCACTGGCTCGAAAGCGGTCCGCGCGCGCTCCGTCTCAATCTCTGGCTGTCGCTCTCTCCGCTGTGCGTGTACTGCGTCGCGCTATAAGTGCGCCTCTTCGCGTTCGTGAGAGGCTCTCGCGCGAAAGAACCGGCAGAAGTTCGCCGCGGCGGACAAGCAGGAAGACGGACGCGTCGCTCCTGAGCCCGCACTTTGGCACTTCTGGGACGAACGCAGCCTTCGACGTCTGTGTCGAGAGACGTGCTCGCAGAGGGACTCGAGAACGAGGGAAAGCCGCCGGCTCGACGTCGTTTGAGGGAGCCGGGAACCGAGAGTGCGCACGGCCCTCGCCTGTCTGCTTTCCTCGTCAAGAGCCGCCGCACCTCGCGCCCGTCGCGTTCCTGCACTTGTTCCGGGCCGCTCGAAGCTTGCTGCTGCTGTAGAGGAGAAATGACGAGCTTGCAGCACACTCTCGAGATCGGGCCGCAGCGGCAAGGCATCGGACGGAAAGCGACAAAGGGAAGAGACTGACGCGGAGTAGGATTATCGACAGTAAGGGTAAGAAGGCGAAGCGGAGGAAGGGGGGGGGAGCTATCTACAAAGTAGCGAGGGGGGGAGGGAGGGAGTTAGTGTTCATCTTCCTCCTGTTGCGAAAGCGGGGAGTAAGTGAAGACCCGATCCTTTAATTTGTGTTTTCAATACCTTTTCAGCATC